GGTAACACTTTTTTAAATACCACACAGCTACCAATAGTAAAAAGTAATGTGTCATGTAATAAGTAGAAATTTACAGTATTTACCCTCCTGTTACTATTATTATTTATTTCGTTTACGTAATCGTTCAAATTATTCATCAACACTCATTTAATAAAGCGGAAGAGCTTACTAGTTTTAACATAAAGCATTTTACATTTTATAACTCAGCTATGAGCTAGGTTTATAGACCAGTGGCTATCCAAACTGATCGCGTGGTCAAAGAAAATACGGTAGCCTATATCAGTGGACATCTTCCTAATTACCACTAAATATATGTAGGTATAGAAATAATACCTACCATGAAAACGCTTCGTTTCAACATGAGACAAAGATTACACATCTGTGGATTAAACAAAAACACTTTCGCATAATATTAAGTATAGTAAATAGTGTAGTTTGTGTAAGCACTACACTGCCACTTATGGACATAGTATACCAGTAAAATTGCAGAGAAAAGCTCGTATTATCGTAGAAATAATAGTCTAATGCCAATTGACACGAAGTTAACCTCTTACCAGCCGCCATCTTGGCATTATTGCACTCGAAGTCACAACGGGATTGCACCTTGAACTGCATTTATGATTTACATGGTGAAAGTCTACAACACATGCATACTTACTACTTCTATTTTATGCTACGTGCATAGACAAACCTTTTTGTTATTATTATAGAGAATTCGTGACTCCTTTGTTGGTCTAGTTATAGACGCGAAAGCTGTAATGTTCTTAATTCGAGGTCAGCTAAAATATTGTAGGGCTTTTGTATCGAAAAAAGTCTGACTTTGGGTGTTCGGGTCGCTTTGGCACTATATTTTAATAGTACATATTAGATATGAATGGGTAAAACTTCATTTAAGTCTACCTATTCGATGAATACGTCAATTGTTATGCCATTGCGTAAGCTTACAAATAGAAAAAGGTTTGTAGTCGTTACCTACAGGCCTTTAACGTAGTTCCATAAAAAACCTTTTATTAAAAATTAAAATTATTTATTCAATCAAATTACTGTTTTTATAACGCCCTCCAACTGCTTAACTTGGACACTGGGGTTTTAAACTTTTAACCATAACTCGGGAACTTGGGTCCTAACCATAAATATTTTTATAGAGCAAAGCGAGTGTAATATTACAGTAAAGTAAAAATACGACATTATTATTTTGTATTTTTATGACAAATTGTATGAAAGATGTTTTATAAATAAGAAAATAATTGTTATTTTCACTTTGATATAATTTTCGGTCACTTTAATATAGCCATTATATAGTTGTAGCTTCTTTTAAAGTAAAAGCTACGGATATTATATCCATAATGCCCCAATAAAACTTATTTATTGAGTTATAAAAGCACACTCTATTATGTTGACTTTATTTTTTATTTGCCTACATTTTTAGAACATTGGATAAATAATGAGAATCAATAAAAAAATAATTAATATTTCTAAATGTTCACTTCCAAACTGTTCGTAATAAACATAATTTATTCTTGTCTTTTCTCTGTTAAATAATTCAACGATAATGTTAAGATTTCCTTGATCTATTCATTTGTATTAATTGAATATTCATAGAAGATAAGTGATTGCCCAAAACTGGAAACATCGGCGCCTTTCCAAACAACTGGTAACGTTTTATAGTCACTTTCATATTTATGTTTTATGATTATCTAACTTCGTATCACATAACGTTCGATACGGATCTGTTCGATTAAAAAAAATAACGCGTTAACCTCTGATCTCTGACACCTACCTACCATATAATTTCGTCGTCTATCACACTCATTCTAAAAGACATTGAAAATAAACTTTTATAGATTCTAAAGGTCGGAACGCTTACTCTAAATTTAAAACATGTTATTTTCAATCCAAATAGTAAATCAAGAAAGGTATTTAAGTGGAAAATGAACCAGTCACCTCGTCTAATGATGAATGAACATTCCATCCTAAGGTTTAAGTACTAAATCATGCCAGCGCTAGTTTACCTGGCATCTAATTGCTCATATAAATGCAGTTTGGCACTCCGTATGAATTATGCATAAATCATAACCAGTTGACAGATTTGTTATTTACTAAAGACAAATAGAGGGCATGTAATGTAACTAGAAGCGTCATCAGCCAAAGCACGCGCTCAACAAAAAGTTATTGGCTTGCGGGCTCTAGAAATAGCTGTAATAACTGGATACAGCTGCGTTCATCTTCATCAACGTAACATTTGTACAGGTTTAAAGTTTCTTGGCAAATCTATTGTGGAACATGTTTGCGTAAATCATGCCCCTCTACCGTCGGTATGCACCAACGTATTTACTTCTTAATTAACGAAATTAGACTATCATTTAAACGACCTTAAAGATCAGTGTCAACAATGCCATTGTTTGTAACGTTTTCAATGAGCTCAATAACTTCCTTGCGTAGCTCGCATATTAGTTCAGTTGAGTGTTCCTTCTCAATGTCAACAGTAATTTCAGATTGTTATAGTTTTTCGAGGAATTGGTCATACGGCATAGATTCTTGGTCTGGATTTGAAGGATCAAAGAAAGTGAAACATGTTAGCTCTCGAGACTCGTTTATGTATCTGAATGGTAGCACATAACACCAGCTGCCGTTATTACCTTGCCATGTTTACCTTGAAACAACCTTTCAAAGTTTATCCTAATTTTACGAAGTCAGTATACTGGTTTCTGGAAAACTTATCTAAAGAATTTGGCCATGGATAAATAGTTTAGTTTCTATAGCTGCGTAAAGTTTGAAAGTTCGCATTAATCTGATTTTCAGTATAACGGTCGGCTGACTTTCGTCCAGGTGGCGACGTACTTTTCGTACTTCACACATTAGCACGTTGACAATATTTAAACGCTTCAATGACTGTGTACCCAGAGTGTAGTGCACATTCTACACATCTCGAATAGGCCGCTGTCTACACCTGCGTGCCTTATTTTAGCCCGACGCTGGCCGTGATGGCAGTCGCAAGGTGACGCGGGATTATTTTCATATTCTGGGTCACGATGTGTTTTGTCTCAGGGACGCTGAGTATTCCCGTATGCACGAGGTCGCGTGTCGTATTTATGTGACAATGTCGTTACTAAATCATATTTAAAATTCCACATAGTCCAAGGTGCTTATACTCAGAATTGCTCTGTTTAAATTCTAAATGAATATAGGACAATGTCACTGTGTATGACACAATAAATGGGACATTCAAGTGGCAGCATACGTAGTACTTGTATATACGCAAGTTGTATCTTTTTACGCAGACGATAACCGTCTCCGTTATGTACCATAATGCCGGTACTTGATCGACCTTTTGCGTATTCAATGTTGTTGAACGTTTTCCCCGATAAATCATCATCGCTGTGCCAATGATACACAACTTTCTTTTTACGATATTCTCATAAACCATAATAAATGAAACGACTCACGACGCGCGCGGCTACCACTCGCTGCCGTTAACTGCGATGGTAATTTACGGCATATGGTAGCTACTGTAGCTAGGCGACTTATACCTTCACCTGCAAATTGTAGGTCATGTGGTAATGGAAGGTAGATTATTATTATTTTCTGTCCTGTGCCAAGAGGCAAGTTCCAAAGATGATTCATACATTACGAGCTCAGAATGCAGTTCGGTCACTTTTAATGTTCCGCAGTGATGGCATCTTCGCTAACCTCACACAGTATCTATAGATATAGGTGCTTGATTATTCTATGTCACATGTTTTCTATAGCAAAATACTTTTTAAACCGTCGACAAAAGAATCATATTTCTGTAACGCGAACCTTTGAATTCAAATGTGCTTGCAGGTAGAATTTTTTGCTCATGTCTCACATGCCTTTGTTTATACCTACCTCGTCTGTGAACTGGTTAACAATAGCTTAGTTATCTACGCGATCGATTTTAATCTATGCAATCATGTATAATATTCTGGTTTTCTATTTCTTAGTAAATCTAATTAGGATGGGGCTTCAATAACTAACCTAGTTGCGTGATATCAACCGCCGACGTTAGTTCAATTGAAATATGCAATTCTTTGAATTAATTGTCAGCTTCGGCATCAATCCACCGAGTCACGCAGTCTGTTGAATGTATTGAATTCTATTTATCAGTTCCGACCTTGACGCCACCTCCGGAACCAATCAGCTCTGTGAGTTTGCATAGGAGCGCCGGTCGTGAACTATTACTGCCTTTCAGATATTGTTCAACATCGGTTACAATAGAATTAGATCTTAATTCCGTTAGCCGGCTTTCGATACTCAGCTAATGATATAATCAAACTAACAGTGACGTCTGCACGACCCATTATGTGGGTTATTGCTATCTAATGGAGCTTATTTGAATAACTAAAAATATACATTCATATCTACATCCGTTCAAATAAACACCGAATTCGTTGGCTTTGAATTTTTAAATACAAAAGGACGTTGAAATTTATGTTTTACATAATTCCTTGAACGAACAACAGCGACGGATTATGAATACTAAAATCTAAGCTGACAATATTTTAAATTATTCCAAAACTCTCTTTGTGCGCTCACAGACTGTATTCACAGCTAGCGTTCATTCCCGTTTCCACCATTTTGAGTCGAAATTGCAAAACGAATACGACGGGTGCTAATAACCGCCAGTGAATTTGGCACTACGAGGGTCGAACCCCTCGGCATACCGCCCGCTCCCCTACCTGATGCAACTGCAGTATTGATTAACGGTACTTGTATACCTACAATGTCGTATTTCCGACTAATTTGTTGGTAGCTCAAAGTGTGAATTAAATAGTCGTTAGAAAGATAACTGAAATAAATTAATTTTAATTACACAACCGTATTAAGTAACACTAATACCGATCACTCAACATAGCTAAGACACTGCGATAGCTACAATAGGTACACACATTTTGAGTACAAACACGGCTCATAATATCACTTTTCCTACTTTACCAATAGCGCTCAAAGTCTCAAACAATTCTCACTTTCGCTTTCAGACCTTCACAGCATGGTGCAACAGCCACCTTAGGAAGGCCGGTACCGGTATTGAGAACATCGAGGAAGATTTCCGCAATGGACTGAAGCTCATGTTACTGCTGGAGGTCATCTCCGGCGAGACCCTGCCCAAGCCTGACCGCGGCAAAATGCGTTTCCACAAGATCGCCAACGTCAACAAGGCTTTGGACTTCATTGCCTCTAAAGGTAAATACAAGAACAACTTGTTTTGAGTACTGTAATGTAAGAGCTTTATCAAGATCTTACCTATCTACACTTCCGTAACCTCAAAGCAATATTAATAACTAGCTTTATAAACGGCACTATATCAACCTCCCATCTCTAGACCCAAAATTAAAAGAAAAAACGCTTAATTCCGACCTGAATGAAATACAAATAAACACATTCGCATTTATAATATTAGTAACGACATCTATGTATAGTCCAAATGAAATTAATTGTTCCGATATCTAATTCCCAATTCGTTTTGCCATTTACTCCAAAATTGCATAAAACCATATTTGTAGAACAGAACGAATTTTTTATGGACAATTCAATACAATTTATTGCTTCAGAACTGTGGATACCTAGTACATACCTATTTCGTAAACGATTTGCCAAGAGTATTCTCAGTTACTCCTACATTTATTGCAATTTTCAAATGCAATGTTCGTTTTATGAGTAAATATCTATTGCCAAACTAACAAGCAGTATTTATAGAAAGTAATACTAGTTGAGACAGTACTTTTAAAACCATAAAGAGCCTCGGACTTAGCACAGTATCAAGGAACACCTAGTAATACGTTGTTTGAAACAGAATCCGTACGTTAATTCTAAAACGCATTTCTATCTAATAAAAACTCAAATAAATTTAGTGACAATTTTCGCGATTTTGCAACGACATAAAACTACTAAAGTACCTAGCTAAAGCAATTTATGTCGACGCGATGTCATGTACAAATGCTTGTACTGTTAAAATCGTCACTATAAAACTGTACTATGCTAAGACGAACGATCGAGCAACAGTTTAACAAAAAATATTCGCAATTCTTAGCGTTCCAAGTCTGGAACTAAGGTATGATGTTGATATGATGACCATTAAATTTAAGTGTAATATAAACAGGCCTTTGCCTAATCCAAGAATACCAGGATTTGATTGTTAGTTCGTACTAAAATACTTTCAAATGACTAAATTTATTCAATGAAATCTAATAAACGACCCGTCTAACAATCGTAGATACATTCCACAATACGACTATTCACTCAGGTTTATAAAGGCAAACACATTATTATTATAACATCCAAATACGGCCTAATGGTATGACGCCAAGGAGGTAATACTCAGAACATATCGACATGCCATATTTAAGGAAAACTAGCACTGTTTACAAATGTTGCGTTCCTAATATAGATAATCTAAAATGAGGACCTAAGAATGCTGTAGCCGTAACCAAATGAAAATCACGATTTACATACTTTTATGAACGCTGATATTTTTTGTATCTGTTTGAACTGCTGGGCTTTTTTAACTCAAGCTAATTTAATTACTCAGTCCGCTCAAAATTGCTTACCTGGTACAGATTTACTGACACTACCTAGTTAAGAGAAGACTACAACTTAAAGAGAAAGTCACAATATGACAAAAATAACAACTTTAGGTAAATATTTTTTCAGGCGTGAAACTGGTGTCAATTGGTGCCGAAGAAATCGTCGATGGCAACCTTAAGATGACCCTAGGTATGATCTGGACCATTATCTTGCGATTCGCCATCCAAGACATCTCCGTTGAAGAAATGACCGCCAAGGTAATAAATCCAATCGATTCTACATACTTATTATGTACCCGTACAGTAAACAGTACAAATGATTAGTCATCGACGGCAATAATGTGAACAAAAATGTGATTCGCAATGCATTTTTACAATTCTACATAATAGCATTGCGAACAATTTTTATCAATTAATAAAAGGATGCTTTTCTGTACAACAATTAGTCATTCATGATATGATGGTATCTTCGGCTCTCAATTCTTTATTATTATATCAACAGGAAGGTCTGCTGCTCTGGTGCCAACGCAAGACAGCCCCATACAAGAATGTCAACGTCCAGAACTTCCACTTATCTTTCAAGGACGGTTTGGCCTTCTGTGCCCTGATCCACAGGCACAGGCCCGACCTCATCGACTACAGCAAGTTGTCCAAGGACAATCCTCTAGAGAACTTAAACACGGCTTTCGATGTAGCCGAGAAGTATCTCGACATCCCCCGCATGTTGGACCCCGACGGTAAGACACGCTTTTGATGCTTCTAGCTCGATGGAACTAAGAATAAAACGTTCTTTGACCATTCTAATATCTCAAGGATTTATATTACGACGTAATATTACTGTACTGCCAAATTGCCGCATTTCAGTGTTCTAAATGATCAGTCATCAATATATGAACAACACATATAAATTGTAACTGGATATTGCAGACTTAATAAACACACCAAAGCCGGACGAGCGCGCCATTATGACCTATGTGTCGTGTTACTACCACGCCTTCCAAGGCGCGCAACAGGTACAAAACAAAATGTAAAAATGGCCGCTACTCGTTACCGCCATTTCCGCGTTTGATACCAGAACCCTAACGCCAGGCCTTTGTGTGTAACTTATAGCATGATGAGTGCCTCGCTTTATATCAAAGAAGCCCCAATACTCAATGTTGATTAACCAATATTTGAGACCTCGGAAGAGTTTCGATGGGCTGGTAATCCAAACCACAATATGGGACATGGAGAAGTATGGTTTTACCAATCGCACCTATCTGGTCCGTCCTATTACTGCCGAGGTTCGCAGAAGGCGAGGAAAGGTCTTCCGAGGTCAAATATGCAATTCTGCCAAAAACCTGTTCCAGATTCCAGAATTACCTTTATTTTATAATGTGTACCTACCAAAAATAAATATAACAATTCCTATATCATTACCGATTCCAAGCAACGAAGCCGCTACTTAAATACGTATAAATTGTGCAAACGTTATAAAAAAATATAAGCTTTATGTTGTTAACTCATACAGTATTTTAGTGATATCAAACAAAAGAATGCTTGTGTTCTAAATTAACCAACCGCTCTCGTAATTCAGCTGTTTGAAAATAAGTTGTCGTTAATTTTATTGGCTAGATGTTCGTTGAGCGGCACAATGTCAATTAGTACATTAATTAATTTCCTGTTTTAAGTCCTATAATTAAATGTGATAAGACAATGCGGGCTGTTAAAATACGACGTTTTTTCAATGTATATTAGCCATCTCAAACTAGACTCCAGATTAACAAGCTTAAATGCTATGATGAGTATCAGCCCCTTAAAACGTTGAAGTTTTAGCTTAACTTGTAAATGTTAACGATGTTGTTTTCGAAAACATAAAACACAAGCATTCTAAGTAAGGAATAATTCATGATACATCGCATGAGAACTAACACTGTGTTGCTTGCGTGCCGCTTGTCAGATCTGCAGAACACAGCGATGCCGGACGAGCGTGCGGTCATGACATACGTCTCTTCATACTACCATTGCTTCTCTGGTGCACAAAAGGTTTGTATCTCCTGACCAACTAATAAGTAGACGCCAAACTTTAAATGTAATAGACAAAATCGAAATACTGGTTGTTGATTTTGTTCTGGGATTATAATTTACACTGCTTTAGCTTGTAAAAGTATGGTATTTTCCTATGTAGTCAAATTTTGATAGAACTAATGATATTCTATTACAGGAAAATATTTCTTAAAAATAAAAAGATCTAATGTGTAACCCACAGGCTGAGACGGCCGCGAACCGCATTTGCAAAGTTCTCAAAGTCAACCAGGAGAACGAACGCCTCATGGAAGAGTATGAGCGTCTTGCCAGTGATGTAAGTATATTTAACAACATGCAATATTCGTCTCTTAGAAAAAATCTAACGTATTAATATAATATTTGAAAGTCAGGCATTTAACAATACTTGGCTGGCAATATTTATGTTGCACTAAAATATTATTAATGGCTACCAATTTTATAGCTGCTGGACTGGATTCGGCGCACCATGCCGTGGCTGAACAGCCGCCAAGCCGACAACTCTCTTGCCGGTTGCCAGAAAAAACTGGAAGACTACCGTACTTACAGGTACACATCTCAATGCTACAAACTATAAAGTTTGCCCATAAAATAACTGGCAACACCATCAAAAAGTTAATAAATATTTTGTTGAAGCACAAATTTTGACGTTTAAAATTTTATGTATCCAGGCGTAAGCACAAGCCACCACGTGTAGAACAGAAGGCCAAGCTGGAGACGAACTTTAACACCCTGCAGACCAAGCTCCGTCTGAGCAACCGCCCCGCGTACATGCCCACCGAAGGCAAGATGGTCTCTGTAAGTATACACCTTATCGATATAATAATACTATTGGGAACAAATAATAAATCAGCTTGACAACTATTCCACTGGATGATGGCAAAACCCTTTTCTCACACAGAAAAAACGAGCACAGTATTAAAATAGCAGCTACAAATGCAAAATGTAACGCAATTCGAGCCTAAATCACATTTAAATGATTTGCGTATTTATAGTAAAGTAAGATTTGACAGAAAATTAAAATCGATCACATGTATATTTCAAGGACATCGCCGGAGCTTGGAAGGGCCTGGAGATCGCCGAGAAGGCGTTCGAAGAATGGCTGTTGAGTGAAATGATGCGCCTTGAGCGTCTTGACTACCTGGCCCAGAAGTTCAAGCACAAAGCCGACATCCACGAGGACTGGACCAGAGGTGGGTGCAAGAAACATAATCAACGACATTCTAATGCTGTCGAAACTTGAAATACTTATTATCAACAGAAGTGTCTTTTAAATTATGTTAAATTCGAATCTAATCAAATTTATAGGCAAGGAGGAGATGCTCCAGTCTCAGGACTTCCGTCAGTGCAAGCTGAACGACATCAAGGCTCTGAAGAAGAAGCACGAGGCTTTCGAGTCAGACCTCGCTGCCCACCAAGACCGCGTCGAGCAGATCGCTGCTATTGCCCAGGAACTCAAGTAAGAAACTTTATAAATATATATAATTTCCTTTCTGTTCCCAGTAACTTCAAAAAATCCTCTCTTAATGCGAAACATGCACGCACATCCTTATATCAGTTCCTTAATAAGTTCGGGTATAACGCATACCCGAACTTATTATCTGCGTGCGTTATCTGGCAATCAACGAACCAATAACATGAGCAACAGTATTTTTTTCTTGGCCCGTAAAAGTTACTTTAATTTTCCAGATGATCCTTATCGAAATAGTTATTTTCATTTAACCCCTTGAGCATGGTAATAAATCTCTGTTCTCATCACCAGTACCCTGGAGTACCACGACGTGGCGAGTGTGAACGCTCGCTGCCAGCGCATCTGCTCGCAGTGGGACCGCCTGGGCGCGCTCACACAGCGCCGCCGCCACGCGCTGGACGACGCCGAGCGCGTGCTGGAGCAGATCGACCTGCTGCACCTCGAGTTCGCCAAGCGCGCCGCGCCCTTCAACAACTGGTACTTTTTACTACTTTTATATCGTTATGAAAATTCCTTCTCAAACGCATTTATTTTTGTTTAATAATATATTGTTGTTTTTGAGTATGGTCAATAAGTGTTGAAGCCTAGTCTGACATAAACAGTCACAAGTCTGCACGGCTGACCCAGGGCGGAATCCAAATGTCCCTACAGTAATTGCAACACTTGCTTTTTTGTTTTGCATGTTTCTTTTTTATTTCCATACATTCTTATTTTATATTGTGTACCAGGTTGGACGGCACCCGGGAGGACCTTGTCGACATGTTCATCGTGCACACCATCGAAGAGATCTCCGGTCTCATGGACGCGCATGCTCGTTTCAAGGCCACCCTTGGAGAAGCTGACAAGGAATACCAGGTAAATATTTTAAAGAACATATTCTCCCAAACATTTAGCTACTTCTCTGTAAAATCTATAATCTAATGCCTTCCAATATATCATAACATAAAAGATATATTCAAATAATTTTCTAATAATATTCTTTTATTCGAATTTCAGGCGATAGTCAACCTGGTACACCAGGTTGAGTCCATCGTGAAACAGCACCAGATCCCCGGAGGTTTGGAGAACCCCTACACCACTCTTACTGCTCACGTAAGTATTCAAATTATTACATCATCTAATCAATCCTTTTTGTACAAAAGATTTTTGTCTTTTAAAAAGCCAATCGATATGCGAACTTTAAGTTAATGTTTTTTTCTATAGGAGCTGAACCGCAAGTGGTCCGACGTAAGGCAGCTGGTACCCCAGCGCGATGGTACGCTGGCCGCCGAGCTGCGCAAGCAACAGAACAACGAGACCCTCAGGCGCCAGTTCGCCGAGAAGGCCAACGCTGTTGGACCCTGGATCGAAAGGCAAATGGATGCCGTTACCGCTATCGGAATGGGTCTGCAGGTAACGTAGCGAAAACGTTAACTGTTCAATAAAGATTTTATTTTTAACAATTTATTAGTTTATTCCATGAATGGTCTCTAAAACATTATTTTTGTTTCCAGGGCTCTCTGGAAGACCAACTGCGTCGTCTCAAGGAGTACGAGGCAGGCGTATACGCTTACAAACCACATATCGAGGAATTGGAGCGCATCCACCAGGCCGTACAGGAGGGCATGATCTTCGAGAACAGGTAAGCATAGAAATATTAAAAATTTCACAAGTAAATCTACAGAATTAGACCGTTTGAGCAAAATTTTCATTTCTTACAGGTATTCGCAATATACAATGGAAACTCTGCGCGTAGGCTGGGAACAACTTCTGACTTCCATCAACCGCACTATCAACGAAGTCGAGAACCAGATCCTCACCCGCGACTCAAAGGGTATCACTCAGGAACAACTCACCGAATTCCGTGCTTCCTTCAACCACTTCGACAAAAACCGCACCGGTAAAGCACTAAACAATTTACATTTCCTACTGTAATAGGTTGTGTTACACTGTCTTGCAATACTCAAGATGTTCATTTCTTCTTTGACAGGCCGCCTAGCGCCCGAAGAATACAAATCATGCTTGGTGTCTCTCGGATACAGCATTGGCAAGGACAGGCAAGGAGAACTCGACTTCCAGCGCATTCTCGCTGTTGTCGACCCCAACAACACAGGTATTTAAAAAATAAAAACGCTAACGATAAAACAACATTTGCCACTATGAAAATCTTTTCTAGAAATTGTACCTCCGATCCAATATAACACTGATAAATCATTTGCAGGCTACGTGTCGTTCGATGCGTTCTTGGACTTCATGACCCGGGAATCCACAGACACAGACACCGCTGAACAAGTCATTGACAGCTTTAGGATCTTAGCTGGCGATAAGGTAAGCCCTGTCCCGATTCGTGTACCTAGTCACTGCATATTTCTTTGATTCCGTTATAATTGACTTTGTATTGTTCTCGCTAGCCCTACATCACGGCGGACGAGCTCAGGCGTGAGTTGCCGCCCGACCAGGCAGAATACTGCGTAGCGCGCATGCCTCCATACCGCGGCCCCGGAGCCCCCGCAGGCGCTCTCGACTACATGGCATTCTCCACCGCATTATACGGCGAGACCGACCTTTAAGGTACATTTTTATTTTATTATCATAAATACAACTTAACATAATATTTTAGTTTTCCTTCAATAAAATTTTTAAACACCTAGGCTTTCCGATCATTGAGTCTCGATGGTATTTGGCAAACCTCCAGTTTGTCATTGGGCGGTTGCCTAACGCCCACCATGCTTACATGTTTTGTTGAATAGACATATTTATAGAAACTGAAATATTTTTTACTCAGACACAGGTCGCAGCAGTGGTATCATAGGACATTGTCATCCACGTCATCACTCAAGGAGGGTAGCTAAGATGGCGCGCGCTCACCGCGCTCACTACTAACACACGGCCCGAGGCTTCAGCGGCGACGTAACGGCGCACAAAGATTATTTCCATTACATTGACCTGCCTCTCAAAATCGCCCTAAACCAAGGTCAATGTAGAGCAAACAATTTTTGTGGAATAATTTAGTCTATAAAACAGTTCTATATTAAATATTATTATGTGCAATGTTCAAACCAAAAATGCCATTAACTTTCATACCATAAATCTCCTTCCTAATGTTTAGTAACCTTTTGGCTCAAATCAGAGAAATCATTTTATATGTTTACAACACTCTATTTATATTTACATTAGCATTAGGTATTTTTAACTTTTATAAGAAATTCTCAGGGAAGTCACAAAAAAATTATTTGTAAGATAAAAATGGTGCTAATGTTAGGCTTGACTAATGTGTGACACCAAAATAAGACTCATTTACATTGTGAGAATGTTTTTGTTATATTTTTTTTATTTATAAGCAAACATTATTTATACAAGATCAATTTTTATTTACTGCCATTAGTAATTATAATACTTTGATGGTAGGCACAGTATTGTACTAAGTTTTCTAAATTTATAAATGTTGCAGGGAAGTGTCACACAAATTATTTATATCATAGATTGCCATAGCTTGCCTGCATCTATTTATTTATCATTTTTATATGATTATCGTTTGTGAGAGTATTGGAATGAGTACTCAAAATAAATGATCTGCCATATTTTTGTCTTTTAATAATGACTGTGTTGTTAATCCAACCAATTATATTACAATGAGACAACAGCGGTATGTAGAATAAGAATGACTTATGTGCCCAAAAGTATACTAACTCGAATGTACAGCTACTTTAATAAAGAGCTCTTAAACAAATATTATTTTTATTTTGTTTTGTTACCTAATATTAAGTATAGCTGAAATAAAACATGTAAATCAAATGCGGACTTTGTATATTTTATACAAACAACTAGGACAGCTTGCTAGTAATAGATACAGTTGAAGTATAATATGATATATACCTTATATACTTTTATATTATATTACATAATATATTACAATAAAATTGATAATTTCCATAACACCACTACATAGCCACATGAGTAATACAACAATAAATTATAATAACCTATGCATATCTATTAAAGTATTTAAAACTATTATTCAGTTATTATTTCAATTCCTCTTTTTTAGACTCCTCAGCAGTAAGGAGTGCACTCTTAATGCCAACCTTCTTGAGTTCCTCAATGAGCTCACCTGATTGGTGCATTTGTAGCATAATGTCACAACCTCCAACAAATTCACCATTGATAAAGACTTGTGGGATTGTCGGCCAGTTAGAGTAGTCTTTGATACCTGAAACAAGACAAAATCAGTTATATAAACAGTTTTAAAACTAATTGTCACAATAATTCAATAAAAAAATATAATAATTATGAAAAAAAATTCTCACGAGACATTATTGTATTAAGCCGATGGATAGACCACATTCAAAATTGCAAAATCCAGTATGCACAACTGTAAATTCAGCTGAATCATGCTCATTCATCAACAAAGTATTGACAAGAACTTCACAATGTATCAATATTTAGGATTTGAACCTAATTTTGACCTCTGTGGTATAATAGTGTTATCATAATTGTTATTTAAACTGTGATAAGAGTATAATTTACATAAGAAGTCAAGTTTAAAACTAACCTTGTCTTAGGTCTTCATCTGACAAAACATCGTGACTGTCGTATGGAACCGCGTGCATCCTCATTATCTGTACTACCGCATTGCTGAACCCACATCTTGGAGCATCTGGCACACCTTTCATAAATACTACCACTTTATTATTTTTAACTATAGTGTCGATTTTGTCTTTTATCGGAACATCAGCAAATGAACGGCATGATAACTTCAGAGAGTTAGCATAAATTGGAAATATGCTCCTACGTAATAAGTTATTCATTATTGTAGATTACCAACACGCACTAGGTTTATTTGTTTTAGCAGAAAATATTTTAGAATTCTTTTGTTTTAAAAATCACTTCTGAAAATCTTTTGGAGATTCACATCAATGTCAAATTATTGTCAAGTGTGAATGAAGTTGACAATTTCATGTCAATATCATGCACAGACGTACTATAATATGGACCAGAAATACCTACAAAATACACGTGCATACCTACTAGAAACCGAGGCCTAAAAATGGCTGCCATTGCTAAGGAAGTACTGTAGTCAAAACCAAAAAGTATCGATATCGATTGCAGAGTTTTATACATTAAAAATCTTCTGGTACTTTGGATGTTTTTTTTAAGGTACAAATCATCGAATGACTTCTCGCGCTCTGGGTAGAGCGGGAGAGCACGTAAGACTTTTACTGGCTAAAACCATACATGTGTTCTTCAGTGACAGACTACACCCTCCTTTTCAAAAATTACCCGCGGACCTTCACCGCGGCAAGCAAGACCCAGCACTTCATTTTTAGGGAATATGTCCAAATAGAAAAACATAACAATTATTTCAGTTTTGTACATTTAGTGGTACAAATCATAGACTGAACTAAATGAAAGTACTTACTGTATGAAGAATTGATTTTATTATGTTTTGGTACTATCCCTAAGTATTTTGGAGACATCCATGTTCTCATCTACGTTTGACGTTAACGACCCTACTCAGACCTTTCCTATTATTTATCATGTATCGCAATATCCCATTCCAAATCGCATGCGAGGCAGTTGTCAAAAGGTGTGCCATCGACGCCAGAGAGTCGGTTCTTGCCGACAGCCGACGACGTCACCCACGAGATTAATTAGTGATGACATGTACCTTTTTAATAAATATTATAGAAAGATACTAAAACTGAATTAGGTACCTATTACAAAAGAATAAAACAACAAAGTATTTTAAAAAATGTATCTTTATTCAACTTGTGGTTTCAACTTTCATAATCAAATTGTGGTGGTATATAGGATAAGGCACCTGGTTCTCACGCACAAGTGTGCGGTTTGGAAACCTGACAAGTACGAATGTGACTATTTTTAGGTTATATGTACTTGTTATGATTTTTTATAACAATTGAAAAACATCGTGAGGACACCTGAACTTTTAACGTCTATCCGCTTTAAGTAAGCGTGATGATTAATGCTCAAACCTTCTCAGTGCGAGACCAAAGTAAAATGCTTCAATCCAATGAGATGATTATAATACCACTTTTTTTTAAATCATTAATAATATTTTCCATTTTTAAGATTTTTTGGTCTCGGCGACGAATTCGTTCCCTCAATTTTTTAATCTCTTTTCTCTGGTTATTGCATATTTCTTGTATTTTTTCATTCTTTTGCAAGTGGGATGGCTGATGCTGTACCTGTAAATATAATATTTTGGAACTATGAATGGGAACTATAATATTTTGGAACATCCAGACGGCGGGAAATCAAGCTTAGTACCGGCTCCAGAAAACCAACCAATCAGAGGGCTGTATAAACGGTGTCCCTGAAGTCGACGATCAAATGGCACCAGGTGATCGGCAAGGTTCCAATAGTTATCCGAAAAAAATCACCTGGTGCCATTTGATTGCCGACTTCAGGGACACCCTCTATAATTCCTCAGATTCAACAAGTCGGTAGTGCAAAGCAAGTTGCTGATGGATAATCCTTACTAATATTATAAAGAAAGTGAGTTTGTTTGTTTGTTTGTTTGTCTTCACGCCTTAACTACTAAACCGATTGCATTGAATTTTTGCAGACAGTAGTCTGGATTAAATGATAGGTACTTTTAATCCCCAAAAAATTTGATATTCCCGAGGGAAAACAAAAGTATTGGTATAGATGGCGCTGTATGTATTGGTATATGTCACATAGGCTACTTTTAATCCTTTTGTGACGCGAGCGAAGCCGCGGGTAATAGCTAGTATTTATTAAGTCTATGCAAGTATTCGCTATTTGTGAAACGTATACAACCAGAAATAATATGTCTAATGGATTTACCAGGACTATGACATGCCCTACTATGCATATATTATATACATGCTAACCATCGCATCTTTAATAATAATATTTCCGGTAGTTATTCGTGAGGATCACTTCACCCTTAATTGCACAGACAAGTCCTTCAAAGAGATCATTTTATTATTCACAATCACAAGGCATTCCTTGAAATACACTGTAATCAGCGCTGATATGTTGTCTCATAATTTAGATAATTATTATTATAATGACTCGTGCGCTGGGTAGACATAGTGTACATACACATTGATATGTAAACATTTTTAAGAGTTTCTCAATTTTTTATATATTATTTGTTTTTCTTCTTACCTATTCTCATTATTAATGATACAAAAAAAACTTTTCCGAACTTCTAAATGTCTGAGTAAAAATAGTATTAGATCAACTTATGACGAACCTGGCATGTAGAAAACCTAATTTCATTTTAGTTACCTTTTCAGATCTTATATATATGTGCTCCACTGGCAAGGTTGGTTGTGACTCAATGGAACTCGTGGAGACTGCCTCTTCTTTGCCAGTTTCAATTTCATATAGATCTGGCTCATGTGTATTCTTTGAAGGCTGAAAGTATTTTTTTATTAATGACAAATTTTATTTTAAAAATATAATTTATCATAACATCACGCCTTTTATCCCGGAAGGGGTACGCAGACGTGCACATTATGCCGCTGTACAATGTAACACCCACTTTTCACTATTTATGTTAAGAGTCCCATGTAATAGGAGGTGAGCCTATGGCCATCCAGACTCCGTCCTACTACTGAGATTATTTTAAAAACCCAGTAATACTTTGCCTGACCCAGGAATCGAACCCGAGACCCCTTGCCCGGCAGTCGCACTTGCGACCATTCGGCCAACGAGGCAGTATTTCAAAACCATCAATATTAATTAAAACTAAAAATGAAACGATAGGTTACTAGGAATATTAATTACACAATATAATCACGTAAAATTAACTATTGGTTTTAACTTACTGCAAGGTGGATTGATGGTACTGCATCATCGCGCAGCCTTAGAACATCAAGGGTTTTATTGAAGGATGATACTGCAAAGTGTAATGAACAAATACGTGGCGCTTTAAGTCCAGGTTTGATATTTTCCGTCCCAATGACTTCAAGCCACTTCTGACACAACACTTCATTTTTAGGGAATCTGTGCAAATAAAAAAAATATAAAAATTATTTCAGTTTTGTACATTTAGTGGAACAAATCATAGACTGAACTAAATGAATGTACCTACTGTATGAAGAATTGATATTATTATGTTTTAGTAGGTACTATCCCTATTTTTATTTCTATTCTGTAAGATTTATTTTCAAAATCGTCTCTTCAGACCCTTTATTTTGATACTCTACTGTACTGGACTCCATAACATACAAACTAAAAAAAGTTTCTGATCGATATGTTATTAAATAAAGTACATCACTATTGTAAATCGTCATTTGTATAAAACATAAAACAAATTTAGCAAATGAAGTTAGTTATCATAAACAAATTTAATGTACATTTGGGGGCTTTTATTCTATATATAAAACAAGGCTAGTTATACAAGAAAACTAATAGTATGATAAAGTTTTTCTTTAAATACGGCTACTAACCTGTGCATAGTCAAATGAGGTTGATTGGGGTTTTTCTTTGCCCCACACTGAATTATTGAACAAGTAGACATATTAAATATGCACCACTAGACACTCACAGCACAAAACAATTAAGTTGGGAGCGTTTTTATTGTTAAAAATCGCAATCCAAATCTAATGTTGTTGTTCGCTTGACACCTGAGGTACTACAAAACTATACGGCCTTAAGATGGCGGCTGGCATGCGAGGTAGGTACCTTGTCAGAAATGTAGAAATGTTGCCAGGCAGAGAATAAACAAACAACATGACGTCTCATTCTTCAAATGAGGTTACTCATTGATTAAAAAGAGACAAAGTGTGGTTTCATATTTCTATATCGATTTGATATGTATCTGTATAAGCAAATAAGCTATAGATCATTACGAAGCATCTATATAATACTAAATCTATGATATCATGCCATCATTATCTCTGGGCATCATAGATTGTTTGTAGATGAAAAAGATTGTTTTGTCGTAAAGCCCTTTACCTATAAGTTCCTTGGTTTGTCTATGTCCATGATTTTCATCTCTCTATCAAACTACCAGATTTTTTTATTTGTATTGCATAATTTCTGTTTGTATTGCATAATTTGACCATTTTGTTGACAATGATAAACACAAATTAATTTGTTAGGTATTTTACATTAATTTCCTTCCGACGATTTTAGTCTTTGGATTTTGTTGCCTGTGGTTATTGTCTATGTGTCAATAAAAAAAGCTTCATTATTTATGGTTATGACCAGTTTGTTGTGTGATATTATTAAAACTAGATTTTCAATAAAATTATCAAACACTAAATAATAAAATGGAGAACGCTGAAGAGATATTTCACTTTCTTGAAGACTTCTCCAAACGCAAACCTAAAACGATTCCACAGGAGCTTAATGAATACTTGGCATACGTAGCCCGAACCGGTGATCCAGTCTACCAGTGGTCACTTGTTAAAAGTTTATTCAAAGAAAAGTTACTATCCGTTATCACCGACTTTTACGAGACAACTCCAGGTATTGACATTCCACCTTATCCAAACGTGGACCCATTTAATTATGATATTATGAAAAATAGCTTATTAGAACGCCTAGATTCATTCACCTCAGCACCTTTTACAGTTCAAAGAATTTGTGAATTACTTACATTTCCGCGAAAACAATACAATCGGGTTGACAAATTTATGAGAGCAATAGAAAAGAATATTTTAGTGGTCAGTACCAGAGAACCTGGCATACAGCGACATGCTGAACCGGAAAATGGAGAACCAGTTGAACCTATTGTAAACGGCTCGGACAACAATTCTGAGTACAATGTAGATGTTGAGATGGAAGATATGTCTTGGAAAGAAAATGCTGAACAGCCACAAATCTCGGAACCTCAACCTGGATCATCTGATGCCCACATTTCTGTAGATGACATAGAGGCTCGCTTGAAAGCTAAACAAGAGACTCCAATGGATACTCAAGAAAAAACCACTACACAATATGAGTCTGTAACACCTCCAGAATTAAATATTACTGCAGATGAAACACCTGAGGAGAGCAAACCAAATGCAGAAACAGCACCTTCTACTGCGTCTGCTGAGGAATCCAAAATGGAAACAACTACCACAGAAACATCAAGTGAGGAAGCAAAGGTTGATGTTGAAATGAAACCTGAGGTTGCAGCACCTGCTTTAATCATTCCAGAAATTAAAGTAGATGATGCTGAAATGACAGAACAAAGGCTTACAGAGCAATCATCAGCAGAAAAAGTTGAAAGTACTGAGGCAAGTGACAAGGAAGCTCCAGCTACTGAATCAAAGCCTGTAGTGGACCCACAACCTGTAAGCATTGATGAAAATAGCTCAGATTCCACAACAAAAGAGGACAGTGAACCTAAGCTAATATCTGAAGTTTCCACATCTAGTGAGGAAAGTTCGTCCTCAAGTGACAACACTGATGGAAATAGCAATTCACCTAAGGCAGATGAGAGACACATAGATGTTCAAGAAGAGTCAAACCAATCAGATACTCCTTCAGACACAGCATCAGAAGAAAGTAATGTAAAGGAAAATGAACCAACTCCTGAAACTACACCAGAAAGACCTGCAGAAGAAGCATCTCCTAAGGTTGAGATGCAATCAGATAATTATTCAATATCAGATGTTAATTCTGAATTACCTCAACCACCTGAGGAAAATCCCAAGTCCCCAGAGGTAACGGAGGACAAGAAAGAGCCAGAAAAAATTGAAGAAATTAAGTCTGAAAGTACTGAAACAGAACAAACTAAAGAATCGTAACTTACATGACTAACTACCTTCATAACATTTCACATACATTTTTATTCTGTGACTGTTAGATATTAAGTAGAAAATTAACAATTTTTCCTTAGGCACTATGAACAATATCATGTGTTTATAGTCTTGAATTCAAATAAAGTGTTCTTTTTTTACATTTTTCTCTGCTACCTGTCTCTGCTCGTAAATTTTAAGTATTTTACAATATTTTGTTACAGTAGCATTTGTAATTAAAACTTGTGCTAGAGTGCTCTATGGTAATTTGTCTGAATAAATAATAGAAACAAAACGAATGATTGTAACTTAGTATTATTTTGTACCAATAATGTAATAAGTGAAGAATAAATGATGAAACAATTTAATCTTTTCTTTTTCTTACATACCTACGGATTCATTTTGATCATGGTGGCCAGTCTCCACTCTAACTAAAGTAACCCGCTATGCAGAATGTGTATGCAAACATTGTGCACTCTAAATACCCCTTCACTCTCTTAATCCAAACAGACCAATGCCTTGTATGAAGGTGAAATACCACTATTTTCTGACTCCAGGTTATTATAGCCATAGCTATTTTAATCAGAAAAATCCGTAAGCAGTATTTACCAGACCAAACTGACGTTTCACAGCAGCTGATCACCGACCCAGACACTACAAAATATTTTTCATCTAGCCTACTTCATTATATTATCTACCTCATTCATTAGATAAATGTATCTAGCTACTTGTATTTTTTACTGGGACAAGCCCGCCACAATCTCCCATAACCGTTGCAACTCCTATAGGTATCAGGATCTACAGTAGATACAAACATGAAAACACCGAGCCACTGAAGTCCGGTGCGTCCTAGGGACCTGAATAACTGTCTTGGTTCCCACAACGAAATTAATCAGATATTAAGAGGAGAAGAAATAGGTACTGTTTTAATAACTTCGATTAGTATTCTGCGCTTGGATGTTCAGAGGTTTTGTAAGTGGGTCCACTTCAATCAAGGTTATTCTCATTCCATCCCTGGCCATTAATCGACAAATTTTTCTCAGCAGGGGGCGTGCGTGACCCTAAAAAATTACCAAATCGGGCACCTCCCTACACTCTAGGGGGGTCTTAGGGATTGGGTAATTTTTTGGATTGGACCTCTCTGGTCCGTTTTTAATATATTCTTTATTTTCGCCTGTTTCTTTCGGTCCGGTGTTATTACAGTATTGGAAGTGAAATCAAAAAAATAAAATACAACTTAAAAAATAACGATTTTTTATTGAAGTTCTATTTACATAAGTACATAGGTACATACAGTAGGTGTTTGGAATTAAACTTAAGTTTACTAAATAACAAATATTTAACAAATCAGTCCTATGAATCTACATAATAGTATACATTGGCTTATCAACTAATTTACAAAAATACTAGGTACAATACTCGAGTTTGTCTAGTCTAGTTTACTTACGTTTCATACCGAGAACTTTGAGTTCATTCCTCATGATTTTGCCAGCGGCATTCCTTGGGATTGATTCTAAAAATACGACGCCTCCGTCAAGGTGCTTATATCTAGTTAGTTTCTTAGCTACTAAGTCAGTGATATCTTTTTCTGTGAGTTTTTGTTTGGGTTTGAGCACGACGAACGCTTTGGGTACTTCACCCGCCAGTGGGTCCGGGACGCCGACAACAGCGACATCTGCTACTGCTGGAAGCTCCATGATTATGTTTTCTAATTCTGTCGGCGATACCTGTGGATATAGATAGTAGATTAAGAGTCTAAAAAATATTGTCGATGTAGATTTTACCGGATCCAGATTTTGATCTCGTTTTGTTAATAATAAAAAAAAAATTTTTCCGACACGGTAATCGAACCCAGGACGTCATAGTGGTAACATTTGCGATCCACGAAACATTACCAAGATCAAATCATTTTAATATGTAGTTATTACTAACAGCTTGCAAAGATGACCTACTTAAACGTCTGGTCCACAAAGTTCAAAGTCCCATTTATTTTGCAAGGAGATATATTTAGTAGCACAGATGCACGTACCTGATTGCCCTTAACCTTAATGAGTTCTTTGGTGCGGTCAACTATATAGAAATAGAAATCTTCGTCGTAGTACGCCACGTCGCCTGTGTGTAGCCAGCCGTCACTGTCCACCGTCTCTTTAGTCGCTGCCTCGTTGTTCCAGTATCCTTTCATAACCTGTAAAATGTATTTAATCAATTTAGATAGGTTCAAATATCTCAGTAACGTTTAATAGATCAACAGCTTCGTAAATTTCGTCTAAGTACTATTTCTTGGAAACAAAATTTCTGTCTATTTCTGTTATTAAGCCTTTGAATGCCAACAGAAAACTGCTGAAGCCAAATCCTCCGCTAACGTAGGTCACCGGTGACCTACGCGGCGGTTATGCCTAATGCAAAGATGGGTGGATAATGAGGAACGAAATCGTTTCTTTATCAATCCGTATTTCAAATGAAATAAAAAGATATTTGTTGCACAGGATTGCATCTGATAGAGGGGGTACCGAATAAAAAAATTTAATCATATTGCGACGACTATGTTTTCACCGGGGGTAGGTAAGGACAGCAAGATAATTATAATGATGAGTTACATTTACAATACTCACTTGAGGTCCTCTCAACCACAGTTCTCCAGATTTGTGCGGTCCCAGCATCTCGCCAGTAGTAAGGGAGACCACACGCGCTTGTGTGCTCGGCACCAGTTGTCCTACTGACCCTACTTTACTGTACGGGTACGTGTACGGAGTCATCAGCGTCACGGGAGAGCTTTCTGTCATTCCGTAACCTGGAAATAATTGATTTTTTTATGAGAAAAAGTATTCAAATGTTAACAGCCTCACTTTGCGGGTCATGCAAAGTGAGGCTGTTAACATTTAAAAGTCAACAATTAAAAGTGTTATTGGATCTTTTTCGGTTTAAAGAAAACTTAGTAGGCAAACCTGCAATTGTACAAAATCCTTCTATAATGACTAGAAAGTATCTAACTCAATTGGTGTAAGATTTTTATTTAAGGTAGGTAATAAGCAATTCGTACCTTGCAGCAACTTAATCTGATCCTTAGTCTTCTCACATTTAAGTAAGAACTTCTCCAGCATGCTGTCAGTGGTCGGTGCAGCGCCAACCATGATGGTCTCCACCCATTGCAAGTGTTCCTTCTTCACCGACGGATGGGTTGCCAAGAAGGCCAAGAGAGATGGCACCACGAATAACGTTGTAGGCTGGTATTCCACCAAACATTTTATATAGTCTTCCGGCGTAAACCTGAAAGATTTAGAAAATTAATGTTTAGTAACACCTATTCGGATTTTAGGTCATCTTTATAGGCGTGAATCTGAATATATCGAAGCAAATAAATTACCTAATATAAAAATGCCTTCAGAGCTACCTACTAGTAACTATTGCAATACTGTTGGACTGGACTGGTTGTATTTGATCTGCCTCATGAAAAATGTAATACCTACATAAAATCAGATTTTAGGACGCCTAGGTACATGATGAACGTTCCTAAAACACCTCATTCTACCTATAAGTATAAATTTTATCTACATAGCACTTTGATACGTAAGCACTTATCACTAAAACAAATTATATATTGAATCTATGAGTAATAAAGTGACTAAGCGACTTTTTGCACTACAAAACTGCAATAGATTTCACTTACCTTGGCATTGTAACAACGTGGTAACCGAGTTTCAGATTGTAATTAAGGATTCCGTTGAAACCGTAAATGTGGAAGAATGGCGGTACTGTTAGAAGGACGTCGCCTTTGCCTAGAACATAAATTTACTTGTGTTAAATATTATATATTGTAGATAATATAATATCCTATGTTGGTGCAATCGGTCAGTTCCGGGTGCCATCAATCAAAATGATAAAATAATTTGTTTCTAAAAAAAAAGTACCTATTGGAGATAAAATATCGTCATAACTGCTAGTTTTTGTTAGTGGTCAAACTTTGCACTTTGGTCAAACTGTCCCAAAGCTCACGATGACGCAAAAAAGCGTCGGTCACTCGGGTCATTGCTTGAACACCAAAAACGAAATACAGTTTCGATTTATAAGGTGTTTATTATTATATTGAGCAGTTAGTAAGCTATCAATACTTAGAACCTACTGACTAAGTATGGGTTTTCCCAGAAACATAATCTCGATATCTCTATTTGACTTTACCGTGATAACGATTTTAATTCATTAAATTCAGCGTAATGGCGCTGATGAACTCACTGCAATTATTGGACTATTATCTGGAATAATAGCCGACCTTTATTTGACATTGACCATTGCACCATAGATTATAAAGATCTAAAGATAAGTTTAGGTAATTTTAATATCTAATTGCCCCATTTAGCTATGTTATTTGTTCAATATCAAGTTTTGTGTATTTCTCAGATAAAATCTATGAATCGGTCTCAAGAGCGCTTTCAAAACCAAGTCATGCGATCCTTCCCAATTTTCTTCACAATGGTTTCACTGTCAATGCAACACAGCACCGGGTAACAGGATATTTTGTTTACCTTTTTCTCCTTCGTACTTCATCATCTTAGGCCATTGCGTTTGCTTCAAGTTGCTGACTAGATTCTTGTGGGTCAGCATCACGCCCTTAGGCATTCCTGTTGTGCCACTGGAGTAGGGGATCAAGCAGACCTCGTCAGGGTTTACAGTTGGCAGATCCGCTTGATGATCAGCCATTAATAGCGATTTGAGACCGAAGATGCCTAGAAAAGGAAGAAGTAATTTAGACTTGGATATCTTTTAATTATGAATCGTAGTGTTAGTACCTACCTAGATTGTTTGAAATGTAACTATAGTCTCCCAATCGAGACTTGTCATATAAACAGAGAAATGGGAGAAACGATCGTCTTGTAGATGGTTAATTTTAACACCTGTACATTATTACTTATGAAGTCGGTGGTGTAAAAACAGCTACCGGTATTAAGGAACTGAAAAACGCTTGTCATACGCGAACAAGTCACTTCCATACCAATATTCACATAGAGCCGGTTTAGTCATGAAATTAATCAACTCGACCTGTTCGGCAGACATTTCCTTTCGCCATAATAAATTCTGTACTTAGCTATTAGGGAATGTTGTCTTGGAACTTGTATCTATTTCATAATCTCTACATTCATTGGATTGCAAACTACATGCGTGCCTTTATCCGAGTACATAGGTATATGTACAAGTAGATGTATATTCATAGGAAGGACTAGCCTAATTCCAAAATTGTAACCCGGTTCACAACGTGAATAGAATGTGTCGATCTGTTGATATACAATTCAATGTATAATTATGATGAATAGATTTATCGATTACTAATATTAGTAGGAACAGTGATAACCTTTTCTTATCGAATCCCTTCCGATACCTCATGTGCATGAGTAATTAGCTAGCACTATTCATCTTCAGTAAATTTGACAGTCATGCCAATGTTTCTGTTCCTATATACACTTGTCTCTCAACTCAACTCTGAATAGATATAATTTCGGTTGCACATCATGCTACTCATAACTGTCAACCTTCTTTATCAGAATACCAACTTTAACCTCCATAATAAAGATCTAAAATCCATTGGCAATTTATTTTTATCCTGAGTATTTACTTCTTCAGTAAATCACACAGCGACTCTAGTGCGTTACTCTGATATTTGCTAATTAGATATGTCTACTAAAATGTTTTATTACGCATTTTAGTACCTCTATCGTGTATCGTGTGTATGCGTGTTGTATCTTATAATCTATTTGGACACCGTATCTCACAAAACTACTGAAATGATTTACAATTTAAATAGATGACATTTAGTATACAAACGAATAAACTGTTTCAGCAAACATAACTGAGGTTGTTTAGAATCCATACTCAACATAAGTCTCATGGTGTGGAATCATATTATTACTAAAGTAGGTCCAAAGTATCAAATATCCTAGACTCAGTACATTTTTAGCTTCACTTGCTCAAAACATAGTTAACTCATCGTTATAAGACACCAAAAGTTCAAATAAAATATGATGTAACACTTATAACTATAGAATGGTATTTTTTTAAGGGGGGAAAATCATCGAATGACTGCTCCCGCCTGGGTGAGGCGGGAGGGAGTGTCAGACTCTTACTGACTAAAAACCACCCCGTTCCTTCTCCTGCACGTCGAGCCGGAGCCCCGGTTACCCATTAGGTTCTCCGCGATAACTATAGAATAGTATAGGAATATATTTACCTTGTCCCTTGTCATCCTCGCCTCCAACCCAGATGGTTCCTTTGTAGTCCTTCAGGTTTTTGGCCACCTCCTTCGCAACAGGCATGAAGAGCTCAATCGTAGCTATCGCCTTCACATTGCAATCTTTGAACTGACGTGTCACTTCATCTGCAATATCACAAATATCAAGATTTTAGAATTTAAAAGTCATACTATAAAAATTATGTCACTGCCTCATTGTACCCACACTTGGGGGCAAAATAACGAAGCCACTGCGTTTTTTCTTTTTCATTTCTTGATTTTCTGATACAAGTTAATTATTTATGAATTGGTAACGTATGTCGTATAAAAGGCAATTTCGTTACCTTTATAATGAGAGCATTTTGTCATAAAATGAATATAATTTTTAATTTATATAGGTTTCGGTAACAAAAACGCCAGTAGATCCGTTCGTGTCCTCTCAAGTGTACTAGTTGCATTTACAGAAGACTCTTTTTTCCCTCAGCAGTTGTGCTGAATAAGATTCGGATGGTCCACAACTTCCCCAAGGGTTAAAATATTAGTGCGTTTTTATTCTTAATTAAACCTGACATTAAGCTTAAGATAACTGACATTAAGAGGTTAGCTTATTACCTCTACTATTACATACATGAGATTATATTAATCATTTAGCATAATGTAGGAGTTTGCAATTTTTTTATTTGTATTAGATGTTCTTCATAAGTACCAAAAATAAAAGTTAATCGCTTTCAATTTTTTATTCTTTAGTTCCGTAAACTTTGCACTTAGCTGTTTTATAAACATAGATACCAATGTATACAACTGATAGCAATACCTAAATCTAAGTCGTTAACAAGATAAATTAATGCAATGAACTATTAATAAAGAGATAACAGTGTGGTTTGTAATTAGGTAGGTAAGTGAGCGACTGATTTCCTCAACCTTGACTGCACTTGATCAACGGTAATTAATTGCATGCTCGATACTTGTGCACGTGTATGCATCGACAACTAAACAGAACCTATTGTCTATTTACAATGTAAAAAATGTTTACTAGTTTTCAGCATGTGGATTCGCCTGTGGTCAACCTTCCTAGGGAATTATGGGCCCAAAAATATCTGATAGTATATCGTGTTCAGACAGACAGGATAGCGGGACAGTCTAACAAATGCCAAAGGGGACGTCCTCCCTCGAATGTCTTGTCTGAGTCTAAAATTGTTCCTGGTGTATGGCTTTAGTAACACAGGGTGTGTTGCTATAGGGTGTCAAACGAATAAAGCTTTTTCTGCTAGCGGGATAAAAAGTATCTTCTTAACATCTGTTACTACATAAAATATAAGCTCTGTATTTGTCAAAGAATTTTCTAATTTTTTTCCAAGAGTTCTGGAGCCTATTCAATACAAACAAATGCACAAAACTTTCCTCTTTACAGTAATTATTCCTTCAAATCGCGTGCCAGTGATTGGAATTGGACATCCCGATCACTAATGTGGATGTGAGATATCCTACTATGTAATACGTATTATCTATTAATGCGAAATTTTCAGGGGGAAACTATTAAACGCATTACAATGAGGCATTGAGATAGATTATAGTAATGAAATTACATAAGGATACGATACTTTTTTAATCAGGAAATTAAATCAGGATAGGTTACTTTTTATCCCGCTAGCAGAAAAAGCTTTATTCGTGTGATAAAGAGTGTTTGTTGCTATTGCCATAGGCCGGGTACAATTTCAGGCTCTACTACTGACGAAATTTTTCCCTACAACCGAAAATATTCCAGATTTTATTTGCCTGACCCCCGAATCAAACCTGTGAATCCTGTCGAAATCGAAAGAGTTGCGCTTACAGCCACCTGATTAATGAGCTACCTCGTAAGATTATTACCGATTTATTCGCCACCAATAATGTGCTAATATAGTTACCATTAAATTCAATGTCTATATTAGAACTAAGTATAAAATAATTCCACAGTCATTATCTTGAGGAGGCAAACGTATTCTCTTCCTCAATTTTATCTATTACCGACACGCACAAGCACATGTCGACTAGACGAGCACGAGGTACAAACACATGTTATCTTATCAAAAATATAATAGAACACAAATGTAAATAAATAACTATTCAAATATGTCAACTTTATCTAGTTTAGAATGTTTCTATGGAGCTCGGGTGCTGATGTGTACAGTGTACTTTGCCCGATTCGAAAACGAAACTCAGAACCGATTGCCTAAGTTCGCCGTTCACTTTGAATTTGATTAGGTTAATGTACGTACGTAATACTACGTATATTATTTGGCTAGTCAGGCTTTTCTGTATCGTCCATATGGTAATTAGTAAGGGGATTCCTAAGAACCCAAAAATATGAACAGAAGATAGGTAGTTCATAAGCTCTACGTGATCAAGGTATTGTTACAGCTTCTAGCTTGTAGTGATAAAGTAATGAATGCCTGTATAAAAGAAATAATGACTAGTTTATGTAATATGACAATCGTTAAATCATCCTTATCTAAGTACGTGGTGGACCGGTTATACCCAGATAGGTAATTTATCAGCTAATCTTGTTATAAATTAGCCTTTCTCTATTCCTAAAAAAACCGATGGACTTTTGAACACCAAATGCTAATTTATCAGCAATAAAAATAAAAATTCTTGCTCGACGACGACGACTGCCTCGTTGGCCGAGTGGTCGTAAGTGCGACTGCCGGACAAGGGGTCTCAGGTTCGATTCCCGGGTCGGGCAAAGTATTACTGGGTTTTTAAATATTCTCAGTAGTAGCACGGACTCTGGAATTGTGCCCGGTATATGGCAATAGGCTCACCCCCTATTACATGGGACTCATAATCATAACATTAATAGTGAAAAGTGGGTATTACATTATACAGTGGTATAATGTGCACCTCTGCCTACCACTTCGGGGATAAATGGCGTGATGTTATGTTATGTGTAAAAATAAAAATAAAACATATTCTTGATAACTTTTATGTGACTTTTACGTCAGACTGTCTTTTAGGGGTCCAAGGGTCCGATCATGTCACTGATAGTAAAGATAGATTCCTACTTAATTCAATTATTGATCAAAGTCCACGCAAATAAGTTACGGAATGACCTGAGTGATCATTATTAAGACTGGACTTTGATCAGTCAATAAAATGGTATAAAATAGGCTAAAACACTTCACAATGACACAAATTGTCTCGTTATGTGTTCATGTTATATGTTTGTCGACAAAAATGAGTAATTGAAATTCGTAATAACAAAATGCAGCTTGGAGCAGATCGACTGAACTGATTCCTAATACTTCCTTGTAAAGAGTTGGGTGAACGAAAATCATTTAGACATTCAGACCAATTTATCAAAAATCATAAGGGAAAAGAAAATTCTTAATTTAGATACAGTAGGTACCTACTCTAAATCAAAATAGATTTAACCCATGCATCTTATTAAAATAGTTCTGAATCCTTTATTCTAATCCCTTTAACAATACCTGTCTTTTATCGTCAAAAACCTGTATAACTGGACCAAATTCAAAATTAAATAACCTAGTTTATAGGAATAATTTATAAAACAAAATCTTACCAGCGGTGTATAGAGGGTTGGCGAATGTGACAACAAGCCCTGCTCTCATGGCTCCGTGAATCAGGACGACGAATTCAGGAATGTTGGGCAGGATGAGGCCAAGCCTTTCTCCTGGTGCCAGCTTCAATGGCCCAGCGAGTGCACACGCACACCTCTCGATCATCATACGCATCATGCCATAATCGTACGACCTGCCAGATGCACCACATGTCTAGGAGACGAAAACAAGTAAAGAATTATTATTTCTGCTGTGATCCTGTCATAGAATTTTAACAATTGTGCCTATCTTTCGAGAATATAGTTTCATTCTTTTTGTTACCTGCTAAATTTTTTTAGTGCGCTGAGCTAGTTGACCTATGTTATTTACTTACGTAAACTACGAAATAATTATTACATGGACATGTGGTTGGTAACTGTACCTGATTAACCTTCTTGAGTATCGTCCAAAATACACACGATGATAATTTTAGAGACTTCATTGAGACATTTTATTAGAGATAGGTACATTATTTGACTACGTCATTTCGAAAACCGCTGGCATTAAAAAACCTTGACCTAGTGACCAATACATTCTACAAAATAATACCCGGTAGTGTAAAGTACAGGAAAGTCGTTAATAATAGAGTAAATAAATAATAAACTATCTCTACACGCGGTCCAAAATGTAGGTCATTGGACTTTGCCCCGTATTTATAGACTATTGTATAATTACGTAACCTTTATTGTATCTACAGAAATGAACTCCAAAGTCCAGTGATATTGAAATAACGTATAAACTTGTACAAGAATATTTGGCACGAGATCTTAGTCGTGGGAGCCCCTACATCTTTATATTCATGGGCAAAAAACACAGTTTGGAATATAAACGTGTGTTTAATTTTTTTGTCATCACTTGAATTTTTTAATGAAATAATTCGAATAAGGATAACATGTGCAACTACGTTTAAAATAACAATAACACTTGCATATCTAGGTAGGTACCTAAATCTCTTTGAAACGTTCCGACTACCGATATACAGGTAAATAGGTAACCATAAAAAGTAACACCATATCCGTCAAGTCATAACTGCAATAGGATCCGAAATCTTTTATGCGATCCTAGCAATTTACTTATAAATTCCCAATCCTAGGCACTACAAAAAATATCTTACCGTATCAAAATAAAGTTCAATTTCAAATGAACCATTGTTACTATGGGCATCCTATACACCTTACGTACGTTAACAAGTATTGTTTTATATTTAAATAGTATTATGAAGTATTATTAGTGTGTTACGATCTCTCACGTGCACTGTAATTTATTCTTGACGTTTCTGATCTCAATTCACATGTTTCTGTCTTTTTAGAATAGAAAATTAACTGTAATTTCCTTACAACTTCATCTTACACGAAGGGCATTAGATCAACTAAGTACATAATGGACGGCGACTGAGTAACTATCTGGTATATAGAAGGTATACATGGTATTTATTTAAGCTTGAACTCTATTAAATTAAACATAAGATAAGTAGTTATTTGTATTTCCGTAACAACATTGGTACCTAAATGACTCATTACAGGTCTTACAATTATTATTTGCTATAGAGGTTTTAGTAATGCATACTGCACCGTAGACTGTACCTAAAATGTAGCTATGAAAATTAAATCATAAATACTATAAAATAAATCTCATTTTATTTTGAACTGAGTTCATATTTAGACAAAATGTTGTTAGAACTAGCCACTATATAAGTACGATTAGCATTATTCAAAGTGCGAATGTTTGGTTCGTAAATGCACCCAGGCGATAAGAATAAAATCCCCAAGCGAGGAGAAATGTTAATTTAAACTAAGCGATTAGAAGTAAGTAATATTGTTTAACAGTTGCTATGTAAATTATATGACTCCGAAAATGTCCCTGAAGTTTTAAATCTGTACCTACATCTAGTTATGCGGCACTTTAGACGACTTTCCATGCCCTGAAATTGTCATTTTTGGGGAACCGATATATTTTTAAATTATAAATATAGAGATAAAATTTTTCTAAGATCATTTTAAATAATTATTGTTTAAACTGAATCAATACTAGTATTAGAATTGGACACAATCAAACTGGGTAATTTCCTAAATATTTCAACGCGACCATACAGTTGTCAATTAGATATGTTTCCAATTTTGTGAGATGCATGTTTGGCACAGCGCAGACATGTAGCCCTAACCTTCAAATACGAACTATTAATAAGTCCCTATCACTCTCATATAACATCCGTATAGTACAGCGAACTTTGTACTAGGAACAATATTCTTGCAGTCGACAATGCACTCAGATTTAATTGAACATAAATATCTACTCGCCGTCAAATAGCTAAGAACTAAAACAACTTTGCAATGTGATGTCTCTACAAAGCGCGATTTGGAGGTCGATATTATTTTTAATTTACATTTGCAGTAACCAACCGACCATGTAAAAATCTGATACCTATTTCTAACACAACCGACAAAAATTAAATACACATTTTGTTGATCTACCTATAGCTGACAAAATATTTTAAAAATGTAGGTACTTACCACTGACGGTGCATCCGCCCATGACTCGACGTCCGAAAACACAAAATCAGTTAAGGTCTCCTGTCCTACTTGAATTTCACCCCATGGCGATGTCAAGAATTTATTATCCACTGCAGTTGCGGTTTGAGTAGCTAAACTTCTACTCAAAAGACGGCTATACGACAACAGTTCTCTATTAGATTTTTTTCCATGTTTGCCACTCACGAACGAGTTAAGAATTTGCCGCGCTAAACTCCCGCGCAAAACTTTCAAATTGGACATGTTTCCGCTAGCAATGTTTTCCCGCGAAGCGTTAGCGCGTAAATGTTAGCCGCCGCCTCCACTGGCGGCTTTTGGCGCGTTCTCCGCGCTCGCCGAGGGCAAGGTCCATTTACTTATTTAACCTGTTTGTTGTGGCTGCGATGAAAAACTCATAGTAAACACTAGTTACGCGTTACGAAAACGGTTTCTTATCAGTCTACTAATGAATGAGCAACGATACCAGTCGCCTCGTGCGGTTGAAGCATACCAGCCGTGCCTAGTTCACTGATAAGGATGACTGATGAACATTACTTAAAAGAATGAAGCGATAAATAAAATGCATTATTAAAATAACGACAACCACTTTATTTGTGTCAGACAAAAATATTCCTTTACCCGTTTGTCACTCTATAGATTTAAATCTTATAAGATAAAATTTTATTCAATAAATTACATAATAATATGTAACAATTTGACTTTCCGTCATTTTGAACACATTAAGCCCACATAGGTATTGCATTTGTTCCATGCCACATAAATAAAATAAAATAGACTATCACCTAATTATAGCATTTATCACACTTATTCAGGATAAATAAGTGGCTAAGGATTTATAAAGTTTCTTTTATTATCTTCAATTTCTAAACATGGCAACATGTATTTCTGAAAAGAGTTTCAATTCCTGCTCATGTTTAGGGTCGAATTTCCTAGTGAAACTGTACACCCTAGCCACTGATAAATAAACATTAGCGTTCATTTACAAAATATTTTACTATGTTTTTCTAATGACCATTAAAATATTTTAACTAATAACAGGAAGTAAGTATGTTTTGTATAATGCAGGTTTTTACTGCCCACTAATTGAATAACATAGTTTAAAAATATTAATTAACATATCAATTACATAAATATATAAATAACATTGGAAAAAACTAAAACTATTATTTAAAAATTGCATCTAGGTACTTGTTTCGACAACACGTTCACAATTTAGGGATATTTAAATAAGAGTATATGTTATGAGGGTTGTTTTACGTCTGGTTCGTGACTTTTCTTTGCAAATGTTTGATGGTTCATAAGTTCCTTGAAGAAACCGCCTGGTTTCGTTATCAGTTCTTGGTAGGGTCCCCTTTCTATGATGACTCCGTTCTCCATAACCGCCACTTCATCTGCTGACTGAATAGTACTAAGTCTATGAGCAATAGTGAGAACAGTTCGATCTTTACTGATTTCCTTCAGAGCGTTGTCTACTAAATATTCGGAGTAGGCGTCCAGTGCTGAGGTAGCTTCGTCTAATATAAGGATTTTTGGGTTCTGGAACAAACAAAAATATTATTACATAACAATACGTCTTGTACCCTGAAGAAATAGGTAAAGGGGGATATTAAAAATGGCGCGGTGACTTAGTTACAAGTGGACAAATATCCCTTGAATTCCCACGTCTAATATTGCCTCAGACACAGACACCTAGTAGAATCTCAGACTCAGCATTTGTAAAATCGGAAAACCCAATAATAATCATTTACCTGACCAGGGTAAAGTCAAAAGCCAAAATTACTATTCGTCAGTGAAGTGAAGCTAGTAAATAGTAGTCAGTGTATTAGTCGTAAAAATACAATTTATTTTTGCGCATTAAAATCGATCTTTGATTGATCCGGTTTTGTAGATAGATATTGGTGATAATACTATAATTATACCTATATCTAAATTTCTTTAAATACATTGAACATTGAACGTATAAGTACTTACGTTACGAATTAAGTCATAATTTTTACACCTTATCTCAGACTCAAATCATTTACTAATCTGTAAAAGTAAGGTTCTGCCAGCGTTCCCATGGGATACAAACTGTCGTATGTGTCCAAGTTACCCTCTACGTGTGTGACACATTTCATGAACATCGATTTAGTAGTTTTTGCGTGAAGGAGAAACAAACATAGTTACAAACTTTCGAATTTATAATATTAGTTAGATTGGAAGACAGTTCTAAATACTTTGAAAATTAAATAATATAATGATTTTAAATGGAAAACTAATCAATACGTTTAAGATGGTATTGCAAAGACAATCGGTGTTATTTCGCATTGTTTTTTAACTGACTTCATTTGGAAACCTAGACCTAAAGTATCAGAAAGTGGGACCTTCTCAGAAAAACGGTTCCATATTTGAAAGTGTTGACTAAAATATTTGTTACCGTTGCCCTTTTTAGGTAAACAATTATAATGTAATTTAAATGATATAAACAATTAAAGCACACATCGAAGTAACCGCATACATTATGATAGGGAAGTAATGGTAATTATATCATCCGTGCTTAACTAATGTGTTTCATTAAATATGGAAACAATGCCTAAACTCTCATTAATATTAATTACTTTGTTTTTGTTTGTTGTTGTTACTTTAAATGTATTTGTTAATAGTAAGACTTGGGACGTCATCAACCTACCTGGCTTAATTGGTGTTGGCGTACACTGAGCTAAGAAGAGACAAGATTTTTTTGTCCTTATTATATCTAATTACCTGGATAACCGAGCTTGATGTTTTTGTTTAGTAAACGACATTTTATGAAAATGATATGATTGCTTAATTGTTAAGGTATTTACTTAAACATGTTTTTACTTTTTGAAGGCTGCTGTGAGAATTGTCGGGTGGAAACTGTTGGGTCAGAATATATCTTATACTATTAAATAAAGCGGAAGAGTTTGTTTTTTTTGTTTGTTTGTTTGAACGCGCTAATCTCTGTAACTACAAGTCTGATTTGAATAATTCTTTTTGTGTTAGATAGCACATTTAACGAGGATGGCTATAGGCTATAAAACATCACGCTACGACCAATAGGAGCTGAGCAGAGTGTGTGAAACCGCGCGTTAGTAGCTAGTAACTAATAATTAAACTACAAGTCAGTAATTATCTGTGCTTGGCAAATTGTTTCTAAATTGTATGATTAAATATTCTGGAATTGGATGATTAGGGCAACGAACAATAAAATAAACTTTATAGACCGTGTTTTTATTTCTCCTGGTGATGATTTACCAATCAGGAGACCATAGTCAGAATTTTAATTAGATTCCGGATTTGACATTAGCTATTGTCATTTTGTAAAATAATGATACCACATATAATAGTCTAGTGATGAACACAAAAATCGATAAACAATCAGTGTGTGTGTTTTATAATAAATGTTACAGAAAGTGACAGGATAGCGATAGCAATGACGGCGACAATTTATAAAATAAATTATTACTATAATACATCTATCTGTTTTATTTGTCATGTTCCTTCATGATTACATTTTTGTATTTATTTTACACACAATTATAAAAGAAAAGTCTCAGATCGTTAATTTATCGTCAAAACTAAATTATCGGTTCAGAAATATTTAATTTCCTGATATACTTAGTTTACGAGAGTAAAATTATAAACGAGAAGAATCGATCCAGATATATTCCATTTTCATATCGAATAATTTCGCAACGTCACTATTTAGTACTTGTTATAACGTTGCAACACTGAAATTGTCAAATCTGGAATCGAATTAAAATTCCGAGTATAGTTAACTAGATTTCATTTAAAACTTTAACTTTCAAGTTAATAATGAAGAAAGTCAAATGTCCAATAGCGTCAGGCACCGGTGAGTGACGTGGCGCTCCAAGGGTCATCTTTTGTCCGATCACAACAAACTTACTAGGTACTTACTAATATTAAGAGCTAGAGTTAAGCATAAGCTACTAGCAATGAATATAGAGAGGATCATCTTAGTCACACCACTAGAAACTCAGTGTACGCTCACCTTTACAGGGAATGACGACCTTTATAATAAGAATGTCATTTTAATTATTAACCATTCATCATTTACGTTGAACGAACAATTAATAAACTAGTAGAAGTCCAAAGGCCGATAGGGATGATGACAGGGTATGGATATGAAACACCTATTTCCTTCGTCAGTTACATATGAATTTTGTTTTTGTAAAATCGGAAATAGTATCAAGATTAAACGAATAAAATCTTACTTCAACGTCATCTTTGTGTAATAATGTAACGTCATGTTATATATTAAATCAATATATCTGACTGCACGGTTGGCGCGGTGGCTGGGCAACTGGCTGCCGCGCAACGTGTCGCAGGTTCGATTCCCGCACGGAACAACTCTTTATGTGATCCACAGTTTGTTGTTCCGGGTCTGGGTGTCATGTGTATGTGAAATTGTATATTTGTAAACGCACCCACGACACAGGAGACAACCCTAGTGTGGGGCAACGTTAAAAAAAAGAGTAGTAATCTGCGTTAAAATTTTGGTGACCTAAATGCGCGCTTTAAGCGGTCTGCTAATCTTGGGGACAATGATAAATCTTAAGAGAGAAGGGAGAAGTCTTAGTTCAGTTGTAGACGTATTCCAGCCGAGGATGAAGATCCATACGTACCTTAACAATAGCCCTAGCTATAGCAACCCTCTGTTTCTGGCCACCGCTGAGCTGTCCGCCTCTAGCGCCGACCTGCCTGTTAAACCCGTCGCTAGTAGCGTGCACCAGCTCTTGTAAATGCGCCGTGCGAGCTGCTGCCATCCACGGCAAGTCTTCCTGTGTAAAAAAAAAGTTTTAATGAACTTGTCATATCGCATGTCATTTTGAGGATTGGCAAAAAGTAGGTGTGTAAGCAAACCTCTGAGCTGATTGGAAACTGACTCGTGCTGCCATCAGAACAAGTCCGCTCAAACTGTTGTGGATCTTTCCTCAAAATACCACTACAGAATCAACTTGCACGGTTCTCCCACATTATAGTTATAATCTGTCTGGACTTTGAAAGAGACAGACCTCTGAGTTTGTGTCGAAATTTCTTCTCAGAGTAGTCAGTTAGGAAATGCCGGCCCTCATCTAGTAATTTAAAAATTGACGTGTAAAAGTAACCTATTTGCAGAAATAAATATCATTTCATTTAATTTCTGCTTATAACATAGAGAAAATAATATACTTAACTATACTAACTACACTGCGTGGCGAAAGAAAGAAAAATAGTGTTATATCTCATTCCAGCCTCCTTACTGTAAAATCGCTCTATTGCGATATCGACATAAAAAGACACCGCATTCATAAAAACAATAATTGAATAAGTCGTACTTTTTTATAATTTATAGGTCCAAGTTTGGCCACCATCTGGCCTGGTGGTAAGTGATGATGTAGCCGACGATAGAGCACGCCTACCTACAAGCAACCTGCTCACTCGGGACTTGAAGATACCCAAGTCATATTTGTCAGGAAACACAACAACAATTTAGTATGATAGAAGGCAGCGAGGGCCCTCAACTTAGATATCTTTGAACTTACTCAACTTTATGTGATGTACATATGTTAGAAAGAAGAAAAAATAGTAATAATAATTATGCACTAACAATTTTAATCAAAAGAAGCATAGCGCTCTATCTATAAAGATCCAAAATAGCTTGGCAGCTGTATTTGGCAAGGTTCTTTAAAAATTTACAAACAATTTTAAATACATAACCTTGCCAAAACCTTTACCAATTTCGAAGATCGATCACAATGATTGATGAAATCATGAACCACTGGAGTGATAACTCTAGGAGTCTCTAAGAGTGATATACACAGCTTCGTGGTAAATTGTAATTTCTTTTAAAAAACCTTCGCAGTAGGCTAGGGCATTTTTAAGACTGCTCCCGCCTGAGTGAGGCGGGAGGGAGTGTCAGACTCTTACTGACTAAAAACCACCACGTTCCTTCTCCTACAAAGGTTACGAATCGAATCGAATTCTAAGAAGATTTAAAATTATGGAGACCTATTAAATTCATTGATGATAAACATGTTTACTAATATCCAAACAAATAAAATATGTTTTGATTATATATTTGAATTGAATAACATGCATATCTAATAGAACAACAGTGATATTGGTGAGTACCTACACTTTATTATTTAACTTCACCTCATTATTGTCGAAATATTCAAACGTCAATCAAGTAAGTCGCGCTTAATTGTTCTGTCTCTACAAATTCTATGTAAAATGACAGAGATGGCACGATATTAAGTATAATTTGGAATTGAGTAGCCTTTCAGTATTCGGGCATTTGTGGATTAAATTAGTGTAATGATTTATTTTGAGTCTGCCTCATTGACCGAATGGTCGCAAGTTCGGAAATGGTCGGGTTCTCGGGTTCGATTCTCGGGTCGGGCAAAGTATTACTGGGTTTGTAAAAAAAACTCAGTAGTAGCACGGAGTCTGGAAATGTAATGTCTGAAGGAGTAGGCAGAGGTGCACATTACGGCACTGCCACTGTACAATGTAATACCCACTTTTCACTATTTATGTTATGAGTCCCATGTAATAGGTGGTGAGCCTATTGCCATATACGGGGCACATTTTCAGACGCTGTGAGGTTAAAAAAGAAACCAGTAATACTTTGCCCGATCCGGGAATCGAACCCGAAACTCCTTGCCCGGCAGTCGCACTTGCGACCACTCGGCCAACGAAGCAGTAGCTAGTTACAATAAATGCAATAATATAATAATAGTCATAATTCAGGAATATTAATCACATGAATTTCAACAAATCTGTCTTTTGCCAAGTCATGCATTGTCATGTTCATATGTATATGACTGGTTGTGGTTAGTTTTCAAATAACTTATATTAACTCATGATGAGTTGTAACTGTTACGTTGCGTTTACAATATTATTATTTATTTGTTATCTTTAGATATTATTGATACTCGTACTAGCAGTCTCATTATTATTATAATGTTATTGCATAACATTCTTAAGGGCAACGATCCCATATATTATTATGGTCGTAACGTCTAGTCTAGACAGATATGGTTAGTTAATTTAAGAGTAAGCTCATTATTATTCATTGTAAGATGGGTATCATATCACATCCTTCTCCTTCATTCAACGAATGCAAACGTAATAGCGGGAGACCAATGAGTTTGTTAAAAAAGGCCGATCTTATTGCCATAAACAGGGCTTTTTTGAAGGGGGGCAAATCTTACTCTTACTGACTAAAAACCACCCCGTTACTACTCCTGCCCTTGAAGCCGGCACCCCGGCAACCCGTCCTCCACGGTTCCGTACCGGCATCAGCCCTATTGGGTCCTATCCTTGATGGTCTGATGGCTCTTTGAGGAGCGCGTGGAACGCAACGCGCCGTATGCTCGGGTCTGGTTTTGGTCGGGCGGCGAGCCACCCATGCTCGCCATCCGCAGGCCCGTGCTTACGGTGGTCGGAGATCGTAAAAACAGGGCTTAATACGAGATTGTTTTACGTTTAACCACGTTGGCCCTCTGATTGGTCGGCTCCAACGAACCAATCGTTAAACGTAAAACAAACTCGTATTAAGCCCTGTTTATACGATCTCCGGCCAACTAAGCCCTCAACGCAGAGTACGAAACTTTGTACTATTACTAAGAAAACCGAAGAAAGCGGTAGCAGACCCCTTTTTTATACATTCAATGATATTTTGAAGCCAAGGATACTTTAGGAGACAAATGTCCTCCGACACGTGTTGCCAGTGACGTTGGGTGGAGTAGTGCGACATTGCCGGACTTTGGTCGACATGTCTGGCAAAATCAAAGTCGGAGTAGACATAACTCGCCATGTATATCAGGCGAAATCGGCTGGCTTCACTTGATATGTCGTCAATACAATATATGTGCGACATCTGTCCCCTAGTGTATCCTTGACTTATATCTTAACACAGTCAAGTTTGATCCTTCGTCAGGTAAATAACTGTCATGTAAAGAAAAGCATTAAATCCATAATCGTTATTACAATATTTACTGGTACTTACTTTATCATTTATGTCGTTTAATAATTGTTTATCGAGATCTTCATCTAAAGCACCATATAGAATATTTTCTTTTATTGTTCCGCTAAATAATACTGGTTCCTGAAACAAATATGAACAAAACGATTATTTTATGTATTTTGAAAACTATATATTTTATAAGCACCATCGTAAAGTATCTAACTAAAGCAGACTTAATTTCCATACAATAAATACCAAACTTCCCATCACTGTTGGCAAGTTCAATAAGAAAATCTATAAGTACATTTTGACTCACGAAGGCATCGAATCCGTATCACAAAGTCTATTTACAACCATTTAAAAAAGTAGCAGCGTGACAGTCGCCGCGACGCGGGTCGTGAAATACTGCTCATGAACATGAGCCTCTAGCATGGCTTGAAACTAGTCGAGTTCCTCGTCAAATTATTACGCGTGTAAGCCAAAAACATAATAATTCATTTAAAAAAATATACTATCCTAGCTTCTGCCAGTGGCTTCGCCCGCGTTCCCGTGTAGTAAAAAGCCTATCTGTTTTTCCAGATAATAATCTACCCCTGTTCTTAATTTCATCTCGATCCCTTCAGCAGTTTTAACGTGAAAGAGAAACAAACAAACAGACAAATATAGAAACTTTCGCATTTATCATATTACTAGAATGTATCTCTCTATCCCTTAATAAAGGCGCAAGCAGGTAAGTAAACCCGGCTCGCAAAACACATTTACTATAAAATTCAATTCGCTTTTGCCTGAATACTCTGATAACTGCGATAACCTTCGTATCTTGAGATAACTAAAAGTATAATTCACGTAATAATCTAAGAAGCTAAATTTTGCGCGGCGCTATAATAATTACGTTAGGTTAATTTTATCTTTGTGTGCCTATTTACACTTTATATTAATATTCAAGAGTAGGAAACGAGGTTAATCTGTCTCTTTGATGGATTAATATAAGTATTAGAAGAAATAAGTAAGAGCAATTTTATATAGGCTTATTTTTTTCTTAATGACCGACATTTCGTCACTTTTAAATACTATAAGCATTGAGAAAACTTAATACTCTATCTTCTCTTTTCCCTCTAAAAATCACGCATAACATTGATGTATCTAATATCTTATCAACATTGTCAACAATGATGTGTTAAAAATATGTTCTTCAACAATATTTATTTACGGAAACATTTCAATTATATGCCACGTCATGTTGAATCGATATAAAAGTTACACAGTCTTAAAATTAAAGCTGCCACAGATATAGAGCGTCTGTGGCCTTGCCTGGGTAGTCCAGCCAAACCATGATAAGTTATATACCGAAACTTTCCTTAGGAATCACATTCCTGATTCCCTATGAAACCGCACAAAAAACTTATTAATAAATTATAAATTATATTTGTAATTACTCGCGTTCAAACAGATACTTACTAAAAGACAACTTCTTTTCACACAAAATAAGACATACCTGGCTAACAAAACCAATGTGACTCCTCAGCCATACGGGATCCAAGTCTTTGATATCCACGCCATCTAATAGCACCCTACCCTTATTAGGGTCATATAACCTCATTATCAACGAAGCTATAGTACTCTTGCCGCATCCCGACCTGCCGACCAAGGCTATTGACCTTCCCGGTCGAAGGTGCAAGTTCACTCCTTTCAGTAACGGCGCTTCAGCGTACGTAAAGAATACGTTGTCTAGAATCAGTTCGCCTTTAGGCCTCTGTGCTGGTTTCATGCCACCTGGAATTTAATACGGGAAGATTTTTAGTATTTCTGTGTAGATAATATGAAGACAATAGTTTTTATCGGTATAATGCACACAAAGTGTAGTCTAAAATGGTTTATTTATTTCGATTTGAAAGAATATTGAGTGTTATTGCTTTTTTAATACTAAACTTGTAAAACTTGTATGAAATAATTGAAAAAACGTGATTCTTATCCTAAAATTCATGTTTCAATACTATCCTAACATATTAAGTTATTTAGTTACTAAGCTGTTAAGCTGTATATATTTATTAATCAGCTTAATTTCGAACTTGAACTCTTGAATCTTTACTTACAGCGAAAAATTTTGCGCAAGTACTACTTAACTGAGCAAACAAAATTCTGCACTAAAATTTACATAATTAAACATTGGCAATGTATCGTAAAGTCTACTAGCATAGCGCACCTTCAATAACAATGCGCAAAACATCTAATACCTACCTTTATCACAGTATATAGTCACAACAACAAAAAATAAAGCAATAATGAATACCTGAGACAGGAATAGCAGGTTGTCTATCAATAATATCCCACAGTCGAGTCGCAGCACCCAGCCCTTTATTCAGTTCTGTATAGAAAGTGCTTAGTCCGCCAATACTGATGCCCACGTACGCAGCGTACAAAAGGAATGACGTCAGGTTACCGACTGTGAGCTGTTCTGTAGCAACCATACCACCTCCATAGTAAAGGACTAGGATAATTATCGTGTTCCCTGCGAGTCCCGTCTGTGGGTACAAAATTATAAAAGTATGCAAAATGTAATAATAATATTCCTATTCCATAAAAAAAGGAGAAATATAAAGGATAAAATTACGATAATTAATTACTTATGTATCATTATGAAACACTATAATGCTTTGTTTATTAACATTATCTCCAGAAAGTGCGGCACATAACAAATGCAGTACGTATTTTTCGCCAGTTTGCGTTCATCCATTGTTTCCAGGTTAATTTACAAACTAGCAAAAGTTAAATAAGTTATGACAATACTAGGTGTATAACATCGATATTGAATTCAAGGCAAAAAGATACATAAATCAGGATTTCTCTGAAACTTAAATTGAATAATATGTTTCCGACATTTAAAAAACAATGAACTGTAATAGGTAATAATAATTGATTGCGTTGCTTACCAGTCCATAGAAGCTGCCAACAGCCAACGACTCCTTATATGCAAGTGTCAATAAATTTTCTATTCGTTTTGCATAAGTTTTACACTCTGCTTCTTCCTTACTAAATGCTTTTACAGTCTTTATGTTAGAGATCTTCTCTTCAGCCAACTGTAAAACAAATTGGGTAGTTGCCAGGGTAAGAAAATTAAAAATCTAATTAGAAAAAAATATTAGACAGTTTTTTTTATTTTCTTTTACAAAGCTACAATAGTTAGATGAAATGGAGTTAAGTTTAGGAGCGGAAGGTCGTTACGTCACAACGTGCTGTAAAATGTAGCACGCTGTGACGTCACACGATATTTCAAATGAATATTTCGTCAAAAGTATTGAATTTTGCGATAAAAGGAAAAATACGTGTCTAATGTTTTAAAATAATCTACCAGACGGACATTAAAATAAAATTTAGGAAACTACCGTATTACATAAATGAACACATCTTTAGAACATTACTCAGATGCGCAAAACAATCAGTACTTGTCCAAACTCGGATGTGCATTTATGCATTCTCCGGTTTCTTAATTTGATTTATTAATTAAAAGCAAGGTACAGGCTAATTTATAAGAGAGAAATGTATACTAAAATTCTAAACTCCAATCAGACTACAATGTATTATTAATTAGTACTTCACCTACTATGTATGTTTTAATTACATTATTGATGAAAGTCTAGCACTGATTCTTGTTTAATAATCTTGAGCGCGATAAATGCGTTAAAAATATGGTGCATGAAACACTCATTAGACGTTAACGTACGTATGTGATGATAAAATGTTTGTATGAATAAAAAATGCAGGAACCTATGGATATTTTTTTGGTTGCCGATCCATGGAGTACTAAAGTGATTGACCTAAGGTTCCATAGACAATTTTCGATTTTTATACTCATATGTATGTTTCCTGTATACGACGAATAAAATAATCGCGACCACCCTGATCTACCTTAGGGACTTTCCACCTTATCACAAAGATGGACGAGTGAAAGTAGAAATAAATCATTCCTAAACGCGTCCCGTATTATATTTGGTAGCTACATGCTATATAATATTATATTGTTATTACTACCCACTTCATTTGATATTCTGATAACATAACAAGTAATTAAGAGATAATATCAAAACAATATGTAGCTGGGTGTTAACTACAGAAAAATATACCAATAGTATTATTTGTATATTAGTACTCAGTGAAGAATGCAAGAAAACCAGTTCTAATATCGCATTATTTGACTTATTCGTCGATTATAATGCATTAAACAATAAATAATATAAACAACTTATTGATTATGGATCAACGAGAGATAGGTACACCATTTTAATTGGGCTCGCTGCCATTGCAGCGGTAAGTCCCCTCTTTGAGGAGTGGCTTGAGAGACGCTACGGCGTCCTCACCTACCGCCTGACGCAGGTCCTCACCGGACATGGCAGTTTCGGGAGGTACCTGTGTCTGATGGGGCGGGAGGAAACGCCCGGGTGTCATCACTGCGAGGACCGCCCTGAGGACACGGTGGAACACACGGTGGGAGAATGCCCTTCGTGGGCTGAGCACCGCCGTGTCCTCAGGGAAGTGATCGGCGATGGCGACCTCTCGCGTCCGGGCCTAGTGCAGGCCATGATGCGGAGCGAGGGGGATTGGGATGCCGTCTCCTCCTTTTGCGAAGCAGTCATGCTAGCTAAGGAGGAGGCGGGACGCGTGAGGCAGCGAAGCGCTGCCTCCTCGCAACCCAGCCATCGCGAAGGACACACCGGGCGTCGGGGATCGCGGGACGATCTCCGGCCACCGTAAGCGCGGGCCTGCGGACGGCGAGCATGGGTGGCTCCCCGTCCGACCAGAAACAGACCCGAGCGTACGGCGCGTCGCGTTCCGCGCGCGCCTCAAAGAGCCATCAGACCACCACAGATGGGGCCCAATAGGGCCGATGCCGATTCGGAGTCGCGGAGAACCTAACGGGTAACCGGGGCTCCGGCTCGACGTGCAGGAGAAGGAACGGGGTGGTTTTTAGTCAGTAAGAGTCTGACACTCCCTCCCGCCTCACCCAGGCGGGGGCAGTCATTCGATGATTTTCCCCCCTTAAAAAAAAAAAAAAAAAAAAAAAAAAAAAAAAAAAAAACACCATTTTAATCACAACCATATATGAGTAACCATGGTTATGTGATGACATCACTTGACAATTCTTAGAGCTATAAAAAGTCCCCTATCAAATAAAACAACTCTTAACAGTTAGATAACTACCTAAGATGATCAGATGACCTGTAGCTAGGGGGCATGATAATTCCCCTTGAGTTTAGTATAAGTTACCTCGCTAGACTCAGCCAATGCATCCTGTAGCTGCTTTGTAATACCGCGCACAAATCTCCCGTATATCACAGCCAACATAGACACCGGGGGCACCACACATAACCCAATCAGCGCCAGAGATGGGGACATGTAAATCTAAAAAAACAGGCAAAATACCAAATGAATATATTTTTAATAAAACTGGACTGGCTCGTTGGCCGAGTGGTCGCAAGTGCGACTGCCGGGCAAGGGGTCTCGGGTTTGATTCCCAGGTCGGGCAAAGTATAAATGGGATTTAAAAAAAAACTCAGTAGTAACACGGCGTCTGGAATTGTGGCCGGTATATGGCAATAGGCTCACCCCCTATTACATGAGACTCATAACATAAATAGTGAAAAGTGGGTGTTACATTGTACAGCGGCATTAAGTGCCGTAATGTCCGATTCGGAGCCGCGGAGAACTTAACGAGTTACCGGGGCTCCGGCTCGAAGTGCAGGAGTAGGAACGGGATGATTTTTAGTCAGTAAGAGTCTGACACTCCCTCCCGCTTCACCCAGGCGGGAGAAGTCGATTCCCCCCTTAAAAAAAAAGTGCCGAAATGTGCCTACCCCTTCAAGGTAAAAGGCGTGATGTTATGTTGTGTGTATAAATTATTCTTAAACATATTTTAGACCACAACAAAATTGGATGGTTTTTAAAAGAATTAATAAAGAGGTTGTCACATTGTTCAATTTTTTTTATTAAATAATGACTAGTCAGGAAAGTTTAACCAACAATGTTTAATTTATAGGATAGAAAGTAGACTAATCACCATGACAGTACAAGGGACAAAACAAGCTAATGTCACTATCTACAATTCATTGACACTTGCTATCTACTCTCATACATTTAGGCCACAGAAAGTGAGATGATGTAATCTGACCCCAATGTTACGATAAAATGAATTATAGATATTAGATATGAGTTTTGAATGACAATATGTATGTTTAAGTTATTGTCGACCAAAAACTAGAATAATAAAATTATTTTTCTTCCCCGTGATTATGGAGAAGTAAACTTCAGAGAACATTTTTAATAAATTTTTCATTAGTTGTTTTTTACTGGTTATATTAGTTAAACATTCAAAAAATTTTTTCTCAACTCGAGAGTCAACTACCAGTGCAGAATATCTCAAGAAATACATGGCACAGAATTTTATTACTACTTTTAATTTAATTCATATTAAAATAATATAACAAGGTGCATATTATAACTATCATAACACTGTGAGATTTCTGTGGACCATATTAGACAAAGTGGCAAGTTTATCTAGTTCTTACAAATCAATAGAAAATATATCTTACCATCATCCCAGTCCCCGCACCAACCATGAAGAGTGAGCGCAACCCGTCACTAACATTTTGACTAAGGTTCCGACCAACCAGCTGTGTGTCTGCTGATAACCTGTTTACTAGTTCTCCAGTTGAAGTTCTGCCAAACCAAGCAGGTTCTTGTCTCATTATTGCTCCATAAACTTGCTTGCGAAGAGATTGTGTCATTCTTTGTCCTAAAATATTATAAAAAGAATTGAAAAGTTGATATAAAATTAAGTATTTATGTGCTTAGACATAAATAAAATTAAATAGTTTTTGTTATAGTAAGTCTTGTGTTTTTAACAGAATATTTGATTCTGCTTCGTTGTATTTTGTATGTTAGATATTGTTTCGACTTATTAAAAATTATCAAACTGTACAATTTCATAATAGATATGTTTAAACATTTATTTTAAATAGTGTTATATTAATTCATTTAATTTGCTGTTACTATTTTAAATTGTAACATCATAGCAAGTTAGCATACCTAAATCTGTTTACATAACAATGCCTTCCAGCCACAAATTAAAACCTTCAATATAATTTAAGTTTTATAAATTGTTAATAATCACAATTACCTGATATTGACATCAAATAAACCCTGCCAAAGTTACAAAGGCCTCCAATAAGGAATACTCCACACAACATCAAACATAAAGTGTCCAGCTTCTCCCGGGCAGCACCTAGGTCACTTGTGCTACTGTATATGATATCCAACACCTTTCCCAGAGAGAATGGTATAGCCATAGTAACACTAGACGATACTACCAGGAAACTAATAGCACCTACAAACAAAATAATAGCCATTCACTATTTGTTTATCATTATTTTCTTATAAATGGCACTAAGTGCTATATGGGTACATACCAGCTAGGGTCCATTTTTCAGGCTCTGCTAGTGAAAATAATCGTTTTAAATCTGATGTCTTTAATTTGACATTGATCTTTTTCGTAGATGCTATTTCATTTTTTTCTTCAACATTTCCGATATGCTCGTTTTTCTTATCAGCATCCACTTGGGTTGTATACCACCGGATCTTAGGATTGAATGTCCCATATTTATTATAGAAGTTTCTTTCATAATAATTTCTTATTACTGGCGCTTTGTATCGAGAGTATAACCTGGTTCCACACTGTTGACACAATGAAGCTTTCGTCGGAATATTAAACAGTAACTGTGAATTTTTACGAGATATTTTCAGTTCAAAACTACTATAAATTAATCGCTGTAACATTTTAAATTTTTTTTAGAAGTTTGTAACTAAAAACCAGACAAAATAAAACACCTCATCTTCCCGTAAACATGATAACTGTCAAATTTGACGTTTCGTGAAAATTAAAAAGTTAAAACTTTTCCATTACAAAAAAGTTATATGAAAAATAAAGCTGATAACACACATTCGGCAAAGGTACGATTTAGACAGTAAATGACTAATATTTATTTATTCATGTAATTCATGACCAGTTAGTTACAAGAGTGCTGATTTGACCAATCAGCACCGGTCTTGGTTGTAGGTAAGAAGTAGCTACCACCTCCACTGGTAGGTAATTACTGTACGTGGAGGATCCAAATATGTGTGAGACTCTGGCACATGGCGGATTGTTATTGGTTTGCTATCTACAGTTGTGTTAATATTTGCCAAATTATGAATAACACGTATAAAGAAATAATCGCTTGTTATTTATTATTAACCACTTTTCAATAAATGGTACAGGCTGTAATATGCATAACCACGAATATATAGCTATATGTCATTCGGGCCATTCCCAAGAACAAGCCATAATAAAATATTGTAAACTACAAGTCTGATTTGGCTTAGTTTAAAAATTACAAGCTCATTATTATTTTACTGAATATGGAAAGTAGCCTTTTATCTTTTAAGCAAAGTCAAGGCTTAAATAACATTAACCCCCTTTTACTTCCCGAAAGGATGTGCAGCCCCTATACTTATTAATATACTCTTTGATGTGCAGACTCGCTACTCGCACATCAGGCCTTTGTTCGGCAGTCGTTTTTGTTAGCACTCTACCAACGAGCCCATTAGTTCTAACGAAAAGGATTGAAGATGAAACACAGATACCATATATATTTAGTATTATATTTTTATGTTGTGTTGTACATACATTTAACGATTGAATTCATTAGAAATAGAACAGTACATGAACAACAATAAACAAAAATGTTCGTTTCATCTGTCAACATAAATATATGTTTCATGATAGTTTTGAAGATATTTTTATTTTATATATTTTGCAAGTACACGAGGATGAACAAAATGTGTCTTGTGTAAAGATGGCCAATGCATAATAGAAACTCCACCATCTAACAAAAAAAAAACAAATACATACAGATAATATAGTAGATAATCAAACACATTTTTCTATTATGCTATGTTTTAAAATATTTTCCCTTTTCTATAACTTCCAATCTTATAAGATTTTCTTACATCTCACCATACAATCCTGTAATACTCCATACGATAATATAGACTGAATAACTGCAGCATTTCAAGTCTATAGTATCTAACTCCCAACTTTCTTTTGCAAAATCCTAATAAAAAAAGAAAAGGCATTTGAAAGCATGAAGAACCACTTTACGAATTCCTTGCTTTATTGTCTGTCGTGGGCACGTCACAAAGAATCGTGAAAAGTGTGCTGCCAAAGATTGCGATTGGATGACTACATAAATAAAAAAGCTACAATAATAATACTAATTAGTAGATAAAATAAACCAGTGCAAAAAGTATGTATACTTCTACACTAGTTTAAGAATAAATCTTATAATTTCCTCCATTACTTTCCTTTAATTTTGCTTATAACAATATGAAATAAAGTCTTCATACACAAACAATAACAACTGTGATTACAAGTAATTAGACATCAAATTCTTATCAGTTTAAGTACTATTAAACCATAAACATTCATAATTCATCTAATGGCACAGACAATAAATATTAGAACTAGCTATGACATACAGACATCGGAATTTTTATTCAGAAAAAATATTGATAAATCTTTGCAACACATAAAATATTGAAACACGAGAGTTTGCTATTTATTCCGTAGTAATACATTATACCTACTGATATATCTTTATTTATAAATATTATATAATTAAATAGATCTGTATTACGATACAATCTAACAAAATAAATAAATATCCAATTCACTCCACAAATATCAAAATGAAATGCAAATAAAATGTGCACCTTGCACAACCTAACATAAATTACTGGACAAATTGGAAACTACTTAAAATTAAAGTGGTACATAACTTACGAAATAGACAAGATAACTACACAATATTAATTTGAATACATCAACTAAACTAAAAATTACTGCTTTTGTATTAATTCAACTAAAAGCATATTATTGTGTAGTGTACATAAAGCTTAGTTAATAATAATTAATAGTACGGCTAAATTGGCTTAAGAAGCTCATATTATTGCACTGAAATGTAGCAAAGAGCGCACAAATATTAAGAGTATTACACATCACTGGGTTTGTTATACAAAATGTGACCAATCATCAAGAGACGGGCTGCAGCATTCCTTAATTTTCCAGAGATCTAGACAACTGCCAAGCATAGGGATTGTGGTAAATCCCCCCTTATCTTAAGGGGAGGGACTTTGTTCAGCAGTGGACATTCTCGCAAGGAGACCTAGGAAAAGACACAGTAAGTAATGATGTCCTCAACAATTTGTTGAGGACATCATTACTACATTACAACAAACTATGTTCATTACACAAGCATACATAGATGTTGCTATAATTTTACATTTCTGAGAAGTCATATTTTCAATACAACGAGAAACGACAAGCAACATTACTATCTCTCAATACTTGAACGCGCCTTTAACAAAACCCTTTTTGCTAAATATACCCACAGGAACAAAAAATACTGGCTGTGCAATATATTGGGTGTTAATTTTTAAACATAATGTTAAATATAATTTCTCTGTCATGGCTCTAATATACGTTAAAATAAATATTTACTGTGTGTAGTAAACTTTGTAGTAGAGGGTTTTGGATCGCCATAAACTGTAAGTGTTGTCGAACTTTAATAAGTATACTCCTTCGCCAGGGTATGTGTGAGATCCGGCGTATACCTGAAACAAAGCAGTATTTAATTATTATTATTTTAAAGAGATCGAGTTGTTAACGTAAAAGTCAATCTAAAATAAACCATTTTCCACATATTTAAGTACTATAACTGAATGAATGTCACAAAAAACATCCTTATCACAAAGACATAAGAACTAATTCACAATACATACCTCAGTGTGACAATCCCGACGGTATACAGGTACTACAAGACTGGTGAGTGGGCGCGTAGATCCGACGGATGGTTTTTCTGGACGCTTTTCACCACCAAGCTCGAGGTCAGCCCGAGTGCCGTGTATAGTATATTCGTGGAACGAACCTGAAACAATTATTGTGAAATACTTATTAAAAAAAAAGATTAAGTAACATACAGGGTTGGAAGTCTCGACAATAATTGCCACTGAAACCAATCGCTAAGTTAGTAATTAAATTAATAGAATTTCAACTCTATACCAAAAACATAAGGTTCAATTCACAACGTCGATATTAATGATTTCTTGTTTAAAATTATTAATTTATGGTAATTCAGTAAGGTTCAATTACCATCCCCAACGGGATATTCGTCGTCGTCAGCATCTTCCTCGTCGTCTTCATCACTCTCGGCGACGTGCACAGTAACCTCAGTGGTGGGTGACTTGGTCCATTCAAAGTATATTCCGAAACCTGAAAAAACATTTAGTTGAGTTACTATGGAACATCTTTATTTAGTTTGAAACAACTTAAAGTTACCTAAATAATTTTGTTAGCAGTCACTTTCATTATAAACATGTTTATCTGCTACTCCTTATTTTACATACAAAAGATTCCTATGCAAAAATGAAAATCCATAGTTTGTATTAGCAGATGTATTTTTAACACACAGTTTTTAAGCTTAAGTATTAGCTAAAATTAGGGTAACGGAAGCAAAAAGTTCCGAACATTATGCCAATGACTTACCTATATCGTAGTTATCAGTAGCGAATTCCCAGCAGAGGCACCTGGCCTTAGGGTGCGTGGGTACTCGTACGGTAATGGTCTCTCCATGACCGACGGTAAGCTTGCCACCACCCTGCTTAGCTGAGCTCTTGAACTTCGCTATATCACCTCGAGTCCACATGCGAACCTCCTCCACATTGAGGTAACCTTCTGAAATTGTACAGTAATAACTTCAAAATCATATCTATTACAACATTTTTCAAAAGTCAACACCGAAGTATGTTTCGATTTTTAAGTTTATTGTTTTGTTTTACGATTACGAACGTCTAGTCTCTAATCTACTAACTAATTATACTAGGAGTTAGAATAGTCAACTCTAAACCCTAATGAAGAAACATGCTATCGTAGGACAATAAGTTGCTGCCTCGTCAGTGAAATAAGCATTATAGCGTACAAGATAAAGATAAATATAGAATATGCAATATGCATTATGTATTCTCGTAATGTATTTTAGACAAAAGCATGTACATTGTACATAGTTTGCAAAACAAGCAGCACATGATTTCATTTGCATACAAAAGTGCAAAAAAATGTGGCCTTCCAGCTGGGGCCCGTGGCATTTTGCCGATTTGCCATTCTGTAGTTACGCCACTGTTTCTAGAACTAGGTACATAATAATAAAGAATTTCCGCTAACATACATAGTGATGCTATCAGAAATAGATATCAATTTTAACAATAACTTTAAAGTGTAAAGCTAATAATCTGACTGTTATTTATAAAAGATAAGGTGTCATTGTTTTACAAACTTCAAAATCTGATAATAATTGTTTGTACAATTTGTCCACCATACTATGATGCTATGCCAGCATTGGAACTTATATTTAATTAATTTAAAAATAAACCCTTACCTACTTCACGATATTATGCCACAATTAGAAAATATTATTTAGAATTGATTTTCCTTTTAAACATTACCAAAATACCGAAAGTGTTAGAGGAGGTATAATGTATTGAAACACATATTTCATTGGTTTTAAATTACAAATAACCTATCACCAAGTAAGGCATGCCAATAAATATTGATGTTAGACAGAACTGTTTAAAAAAAACGTATATAAATTAGGTCATACCATCATCATCAGTATTGTCATCGACCCTGACCTCTTCGATGTATTCGTTGTTGTCCGTTTTCTCCAAAGTCTGCATTGACCTGTAGTTTAATAGGTCCAATTGTAAATAAAGAATATTCAGATAATAACAAAGTGACACACTAAAATATACCACTAATAAAATGAAACTCTGTTTGTTAATGACCACACACCCCTGCACTAAGGATGTAACTTTCTCAAGAAAATTCCATCAGATGAATAAAAATTTTAAAAACACAACTACCAATGAATATTGACTACAAATCATTCATTTATTTATGTTGGGTTTGTATGCAAATTTTGGAAAACTTAATTTACATAATGAATCTAACTAAACACAGAAATTAATTACAAATTGTATAATATACTTAAAATAAAACACCAAAAAGAACTAAATACTCACTTATCCATAGGTGGAGCTGGCTCAGCTTCATTTAAATTGCAATCAGTATCAGATTCCTCATTAGTCTTCTCCTTGACATTATTTGTATTGTCATTCTCTTTGTCTTCGGCAATGTTTATGTTAGAGTTAGCAAGCCTCTGATCTACAGCCAACTGCTGTATGTATTGCTGGTAGTGCTTGTCTTGCAGCTGACGAATGAGGATAGCCTGCTGGTCAAAGTTGCCGGGGTACTGTTGCTGAGCATACTGTAGGAACTGTTCATATGTCTGCGCATTGAGAGCATCCTTTATTCTTTGCCTGAAAAGTTTCAATGAAATTATTAACAAGTCAACATTTTATATTTTACATTGGGTAAGTAATTTTACTTACACTTGCTGCTCCTCTGTAAGCTTATTACTTTGCTGTTTCTGTTTTTCCAACATTATTCTGTTCTGTAACTCCAAATGTGCTTTCTCTTCTTCTTCCTTCTTCATTCTGTTAAAATTATTCAAGTTAATATCTGACTACAACTTATGTGCAAATAAGATTTGATTCAAACTCACTCTTGCATTTTCTTCTCTTCCATATCCTTTTGAATTGCCTCCAAATATGGTTTGAAAAGAGGGCACAGCCTGTAACAGAGGGTAAGACATTCATAAGTATAGAAAATCAACCAAAAGTTGTAGTCAACTCAACAGTATAATAATGTGAGAAAGTCTTACCTGTCTAATGTGTGGACAAAACCAACCATTGCTTGAACCTGAGACATTTGTCCTAATGCCTGCCATGCTGCTCTCCTATCTCGTCCAATAACATCTAAAACCCCTAATGGGGGAGCAGAATTCACATCCAAAGGGCCGTGCGATGTTTGTTGGGTGTATGCAACCAGTTTTAATCTATCTTCATAGCTTAAGTGTAAAGCTTTGCCTTCCTTATCTATAAATGTAGTACATATTCAGTCACAAACAATGCAACACGTAAATACTAGGAAGTGCTACCTTATATCAATAAAAAATAATGAGCACTTAAAACAGCGAACAATCAGATAAGTCGTAATTATTGTAGAATGATGATATAAACGGAACTGAAATAATTTTCAGATGTCTTGTACATTTTAATCAGAAAATAAACTTTAGTATTGTTATAAGAATTATGGTTTAATTAACTAGAGAAATATTCAAGAAAATTACCTTTGTAAAACGCTAGTCCGTGTTTGTACACATCTTTCAAAGGCATTCCCCATTTTCTTTCTTCACTTTCCACGATACCCTGATCGGTTTCTAGGCGGACCTTTTCAGGATTCACTTTGTAATTATTTTCCACTTTGCTAGCCATTTTTTTCTAAAATATAGATTTTCGCAAAGCAAATTCCAAATTGTATCGTCTACTTTTGACAAATGATTTGTCTCGTTTTATTTTTAATTCTACAGACTGAATCAGGTCTTTTCAGACAATATCCTTTTCACAAAAAAAACTCGGATTCTATTTATTTTCGTCTACATCTTTCGTTATAAATGAAAAAACATAATATTATAACTCTTTATCGTCCATATTATCGCCTTAACTAAAATCGCAAAACCAAAATATTTTTGGAAATCAAGTTGAAAACATGTTGGAACACACACAAATTACCTAATATTCGGCAGGGACTCGCTCAGCAATATAAAAGATATTTGTGCGTATTAGTTTTAATTATTTATTTCAATAGTTACTTTAGTTTTCTTTTATTTAATTTTTATCTTTTTGTATCTTAAATTCTTAAGTTGTATATATTTAGTAATAGTTAGTATTTATTTAATTACATAATGATTTTCAATTTGTTTTTTGTGCGTATAAAGGAAAATTACATAAATGACAGTGACAAGTTGTCTATCTGACATGTGCGTCACACATACGTCAAATATTGCGTGTTTTTCTACAGTCTTGCTCGTTCATTTCGCAGAAATAAGAATAAAAATAGTCTCCCATTCGTGTTTATTCGTGTCAAAATTTGCAATAAAACTGTATTACGTGCGTGCTTATAGCAGAAAAATGTGTGATAAATTACTTGAGTGTAATTTTAATTCGAATACTTTGTTGCAATATCCTTCCATAATCACCTTGTTTACTCCATGCACTGTGATTTAGTTACATTTACTTTCCTTTTGTTATCATGGAAGTGAATCCTTTAAACATATTTTTCGTGAAATCTGACAGCAAAGGTGACAGGTTGCTGTTCAGATATCCTTACACAACAGAAAACAAGGATGAAAGTAAACAGAAAAAATATGGTCGACACAATCCTTACGCCATTAATTCTACAGAGGACTTGTTACAGAACCCTCAATCGCAAACGTCAAATATTTGTAAAGGTGAGTTCTAATAGGTCATTATTATTTGATCTACATTCTAATCACTATTCGGATCAATGCAATCCAACAAGAAATCAATGTTACACTTTGCATATCAGTATCTATAGATAAACTACATACCTACCGCAAGAGCTAATGAATATAAATCAATGTTTATGTACGTCTGTGTATTTACCTATTGATATGCAATAGAACACTATGATAATGCAGTTTGTTCAGTTATAGTAAATGTGTACTCCATGCTACTGATTGGCATATCTAGGATTGTATTGATAACTTGTAATGGGAATTCATGTCTTAAATACAAAATATATATAGTGACCATTTTATGTATTCTAGAAAATGTTCCTTAACTAGTCAAGTACCATATTTATAGACACAATTAAAGAACAATAGGTTGCGGTCACCGGTGACCGCTCGGTGTTAGACAGTTAAATAGAATTATTCTTTCAATTTGATTAAACAATACAGTTATTGTCTTGTCTCTTCAGCAGTCATTATGAAATAATGTTTTTCATTTATACTTTACTTTTGTATATGTTTTTATAAACAATTTCCTGTTTTTGTGATAAGTAAATAAACATAAAATAAAATTATTTTGTTGACTATCATTGGGCACAGTAGAGCTTATGCCTGACTTGGAGTTGCGGACAATCTAATGCAATACCAAGATTCCGGCCAGAAGCGGGAGTAGGAATGGGTTGATTTATATTCAGTAAAAGTCTGACGCTTTCTCATCTCACCCAAGCCTGGTGTACTCACTAGATTATCTTCCACCTCAAAAAACAATAGGCTATGACTGTGTACCAATAGTCAGTACAATACTTCTGATAGTATCATAGTATAGTAGTATAAAAATGTTGTATTATAAACTTTTTTTTTCTAGGTCAGCTAAGTGGTTTTACAGATGAAATGTTATCAACCTTGTTTGCTGTAAAAGCTGAGCTTTGTAATAGAAAGTTTGAGTTAAAAGTGAATGATGTCAGGTTTGTGGGACACCCTACGCTACTGCCATACAGAACTAACAAGGATGATACGGCCACTATGATCCTTATTAACATTGTCTTTGCACTGCAGGCTTCTGCAAGTCATTCTGTTGGTAAGTTTACGTTGATGTTTTTATTTGTAAAGACAAACATGTTACCATCATTGTAAGTAAAGACTGATGGTAACTTTTTTGTATTAATTTCGTCATGGAATGGACTAGACTATTGGACTTTGTACATAAGTTATATTCAAATGATATCAGCAAACAATGCTATACAAGTGTAAACAGAATGCTTTCGATAATGCAGACTACAAACTTATTGTTTTTACAATTTTAACCGTTTTCATGTTATTCATGCAACATCAGCCTTGAGCAGTTGATTACAAGTATGATTACATAAAATAAACGTTTATTACTTATATTAAAAAAATAAACTCATTATAGACATCACCATAGAGGAGGGCAATAGTCCAGCTGTGACTACTACATACTGTTGATAATGAATAAATATGATGATTTTGATCTGAAGCTGAATTTTGTCAATACTCAGTATCAAACTCAAAAACTAATTGGATGAGTTATTTTCAGCAATACAATGCATGTATTTGTTTTTTTTTTTCAGTAAAATGTTACTATGATTTGAGTAAAAGACTGGGAAAAGCACTGAGACATGAAGAAAAGAGGTGTTCATATTTGACTGAAGAAATGAAAATAATGGTAACAATAATAATAATTATTAGTATTTTTTTCTTATATAACATAATATCAGGCCTTTTATCCCCGAAGTGGTAGACAAAGCTCTTAATGCCAAAGTACAATGCAACACCCACTTTTCACTATTTATGTTATGAATGAGTTCCATGTAATAGGGACTGAGCCTATTGCATATACCGGGCACAATTCCAGCCTCCATGCTACCATTTTCATTTTTCTTTAATATTAACCCTTTGAGTACCGTCTTTATAGACACAATTAAAGACCAATAGGTCTGCGGACACCGGTGTCCTCGCGGTGTTTGACAGTTTAAATAAAGCTTTAACTTGCACTTATATTGCATGTATTCTGTAATCATTCAAAGCATATTACTTTTCTAGCAAAAATATGGAAATAGCATGACATGATACAATAAACTTTCAATAAAACATAACATTATGTTTCTTTTTCACAAAATGTGTTGACAGAATTACTGCATACATGCATATGTCGCTGCACGCCTGTCTCTCATTGGCGTAAGCAGAGACAGTGGGATACCCGTCACTTCTCTCATTCAATCCACATTCAGCAATCATTTCATCTATGATCATCAAATGAGGGTATTTAGTGGCCCTTTTTAACCGACTTTAAAAATAGGAGGTTTCTCAATTGGGCCGTACAAATATATAATATTTATACATTAAGATCTAGAGCAACTTCTGAGTCTTTGAACATTGCTTTAAAGTTGCTTCGTTATTGATTGCACTAATCACAAAATTCATATTCGTATGATTTTTCTTACTACTGAACATGTAGAAAGATTATAGATGATAAAAAAATTAAACCTCCTTTCAGTTAGCAGCTCATGATGAGGTATCAGTTTTGGATAGCGAAATAAAGAGTGACAATGATGAAGATGAGGACAATCTCCGTCATTCTGTCAGTTCAGCGACGTACAGCAGTGAGAACGGGGCAGATAACGCTCCGAAGTCAGCGTTCCATCTCATACTGCAACGGAGCTCGCTGGCGAGGTCCATGAAGTCTGTGTTTGAAGAACTGAGTAGTACTGGTAAGTCTATTATGATACATGAGAATTGGGATGATTACAGGGTATGAAAATTAAAATATAATTAGTCTGTAAGTTAGGTAATGACTTTTACACTATTTACTTTACGACTTCATTAAATAAAACCTATGTACTATGTGTATGTGTACATGAGAACAATATCAATTTAAAAGTAATTACATTACATTACAGTATTTTCGGAAAAGTTGTACTTAATGTTAATCAAATGATCTTTTCTTGTTATGTGTTACGGTTCAAAATAGTTTTAACTAACTATTTAAATAATAATTTTAATCTAAAATTCGAGGTTTATTATAGTAATTAACATATGGTATGTGTATGCTGCATAGTTTAATAATTGCATAAATTAAACATAGTATGCGATAAGTGCATTCTTATGGTGATTCATAGTTACATAGGTACTATAAAAGTAATACATAATATTGACTTATATTTCCGCGGTTCGTCTTAGTTCGCACGTAATATTGTTTATTACTATTGCGTTACTAACTATCGCTGATGACATGAATAGATACCCTACTAATTCCATTTGTTTTCATGTATGTTTGTATGTCATGATAGTTGCAACTATAGGTAGCGGTAGATAAATATGTAGGTATCTGATTTCGAACTATTTTATTTGGGATCAAGAGTAGACTCACTTCCATCATAACATGATGACTGCCTCGTTGGCCGAATGGTGGCAAGGGTGACTACCGGGCAAGGGGTCTCGGCTTCGATTCCCGGGTCGGGCAAAGTATTACTGGTTCTTTTTTAAGTTCTCAGTAGTAGGTTTTAGGCTTCTTACACCCTATTACATGGGACTCATAACTTAAATAGTGAAAAGTGGGCGTTACATTGTACAGTGACATAATGTGCACCTCAGCCTATCCCTTCGGGGACAAAAGGCGTGATGTTATGTTATGTTCATCATAAAATTGCTAGTGAAAAGTGGTTGTTACATTAAAACCAACGAAACAATGGACCTAACCAAGAATTATATTGTAAACCTGATTGAAAAAAAATCCTCTGGAGTTTCTTGCTCGTTCTTATCCATAGGAATCTACACTTTGGAACAAGAAAATAGTTTCACTATAGTACTGACCAACAGGCTGACATTTTAAATATTTCTATTGTTTTGTTTTGACATTCAAACATAGAGCAACACGGGCCACCGGCGGACCGGAGGGGAGTAGCCATACGCAGGCGTTCCCCTCTGTCAAAGTATAAGTCCAAATGGTCCTATGCGTACAATAAAACTAGTTGCAACTCAACTGCTCACCAGACTAAATCTAGTTGCGTTAGTGAATCGACGGCGTCGTAAAAATGTCGAATTGTTCTGTTTTTTGCTGCAAAAAAAGATCTGCCACGTCAAATTTACAAAAACATGGTGTTACCTTTCATATTAAGTAATTTTTAATCACATTATTGCTATTTACTTCTTATAAACTTAAAAAAACTACAATATTATCAATCGTCTTGTTTCGGATTTGTTTACCAACAAATCCGTGCGTCCACATACAAAACGCGGATCGGTCGAGCGACAGATCCGAGTTTTTTTCCTAGAATTCGCTGTCGTCGAGCGATAGCGTTGTTGCCGGTTTGTTTGTAGATAGTTATCGATAAAAATGTAAAAAGGTGAAGTCAAATGTGAGATTTTGGATTAAGTTTTCTGATTTAAATAAAAAATACTGAGTGAGAACTTCAACTATATATTATTATATTTATTTATTGCAGATTTCCTAAAGATCCAAATTTAAAGATATATGTAAGACATTTGTTATAACAGACCAACCTGGGTTTCCCCCACAAGAACTATTGCCATTTCTCAAATCAAGATGAATTAGCAAGATTAATAATGCAAAAATATAATGATACAATAATTTCTAACTTATTGAAAAAAACAAACCCCCAAAAATGTATTCGTCATATTTATAGAAAATTAATCTATTTTAAAAACCAGTTATAGTTCCGTATCAGTATTTCATCACTGGTTTTTAAATGGGATTAGTAATTTATTTCAAAAAATGAAAATTTTATTTTTTATAATTATCTTGTCTGATTATTGTACTAGTAGGTAGTTAAGGGTATAATAATTAATTAGTTATAAAAAAGGGTATAATAATTAAAGTCAATAATAATATCTGTCTTTGAATAAATTTTTAAAGCTGATTTCCTTAACGGAGTTCTTGAATTTATCGATAATGCGTATCGATAATTGTTACAACTGTGGGTGTAAGTGTAGTTGCGTCATATATTACACTAACGACAGGGATTGTTTAAATGTGTGTGTGAAATTGTCAGTGTATTTTTCAATTGTCATAGTGTGAGTTTCGTAGTGACATAGAATGTTTTTGTGTGAGAATTTGAGAATGTGTGATTTCCCCCCGCAAAAAATGACAGACAGTTTTGTATGGGTTTACAACGCAATGGCTACTCCCCTCCGTGTTGCTCTATGCATTCAAAGGTGCCTTTCTGGTCTAATTGAAATAAAAGATTTTGACTTAGTCTTTTATGGGCACTTTTGCCTATCCTTTTATGTAATCGGGGACATAAAATCAAGGGGCTCGTCTAGTGGTAAGCGATCACCCCCGCCCATAGTAACACCAGCAGGGTCACGAGTATTACCGGCCTTTTATTTAAGTACAAGTAACTTTACGTTATATAAATCCATATAATATTACACTCATACAAGTGTCTAATAAGATTATTTTCATAATTCCCAGGTATAGTTCAATGTCGGATAAATAAGTGGGTATTGTTGTCCTTCTGTTTGCCACACAAAGCTCATCAAATACACAATAGAGGGTTAATCATTGAACCAGAAACAATAGACAAATGTTTACAGAAACTTAGGCCTTATCACGGTATATTGCTTATGGTAAGTTGAAAACTATAGTTAATAATTTTAAGTATTGTAGTTAATAATTTATGTATTCTAATGAAGTCATAGTTTATATAAAATCGAAGATGTCGAGCATTAGCTGATGGAGTGTGCTTGGAAAAATGCCTACATCAAATTAATAAATTTGATGTAGGCATTGTACAATCCATTTGATCTGTACCATCTTCAGCGATTATGAAAAAGTTGTCCTATTTGATTTTGGTCCTCCACGAATAACAATTAATCAAGTGATTCTCTAGAGTACCTAAGGAAAATATAATAGTCAAGTAATGTAAAGGGTACGATGGGGCTGCTATATCTGTGATAAAAGCCCCTAAAAAGTTTGTTAGAATAAAAAAATAAAATTAGAATGTTCTAAGACTATGGATATTTTCCCGCGTGATCTATTATTCTGTTCCAGTTGCCAGAATGCCCTTTTATATAGCATTTATACAGAAGCAAAAGGCTGATTCGATGTAACAAATCTATTTTAAATGGAAGTTCTAGTTCCAAATAAAAGTGTGTTCAACTAAAAAGTCTTCATTGAATGTGTTTGTCTGTGATTTAAAACAAATTCAAATATCTTTTTTATTTATATTAAAAGTAATTTCGTAATTTTCCAGGTGAATCCAAATGATCTGCTGGGTTCAATACCTCTGGACAGCAGCTCGGCTCTACTAAGACTGATAAAACTATACAGCCCACTGAAAAGTTTACAGACGCTCGCTATAGAAGCGGACCTAACCCTAAAACAGGTATTTACATGAAATAAAACTCTTATGTAGTTCATCTTAAGATTTATATTACAATAGTTTAAATTAGCCTTTTTATATCTCAAAGTTTATATCTATGTTTAAAGAATTTATTTTGAACAATGTTTCCAAACACAAAAGTTCAGTTAAATACAAGGTACATTCTCCAGAACTATATGTATATCCCCCCCCCCCCCCCTTATAACAACCTAGGTAGATAAATATTGTATCTGTGCTTATTCCATAATAACTATTCTGATTTCAACCTTATTTACATTTAGATAGAGTTCTTATTCATATATGCATCACTTAAACAAATTATTTTTATTTCAGGTGTCTCAACTAACAGGACACTTGGTATACTGGGCGAAAGCGACAGTGATATATCCTTTATGTGAGAGTAATGTTTACGTGGTCGCTCCGGGAGCTAACGTTCATATACACTCGCCTCTAGTTGAAGAGTTCGCGAAGGAGTTCCCTACTCTGTGCTTGTTACAGGTACCGTATTAGCAATGCACTTATCTACTATTACGCGCAATAATTTTGTACAAAGGGGCCTGGATTTACGGACGTATTCCAACTCTGTACTTTTATAATTCTGCTGTTAGTCATGAATGTATATGTGATCTTGTATGTTTGTAAAGGCACCCACGATAAAGGAGAAAATCCAATTGTCCAAAACGCGTTTAAAAAAAACATTATGAACGAAAAAACCTCCAATAAAAGTACCTATCCTAATAATGGCCTATAATAATACATACCCATACAGGCAGCGATTATGTTTTCCACTTTATCGAAACGAATTTAAATTCACCATTGTCCGTCAGTTTTTTGTTGTAGTTTTAAAATATAGTCGTATCATTCCTGTTTTGAATAACTTTTAATACTAGTACCTATCATAATTTTATTCACGTTGTCTCGACTGCCTCGTTGGCCGAGTGGTCGCAAGTGCGACTGCCAGGCAAGGGGTCTCGGGTTCGATTCCCGGGTCGGACAAAGTATTACTGGGTTTTTAAAAAATTCTCAGTCGTAGCACGTAGTCTGGAATTGTGCCCGGTATATGGCAATAGGCTCACCCCCTATTACATGGGACTCATAACATAAATTGTGAAAAGTGGGTGTTACATTGTACAGTGGCATAATGTGCACCTCTGCCTACCCCTTCGGGGATAAAAGGCGTGATGTTATGTTATGTAATTTTATTGTCAGATGCTAAGCGAATTCTCTCTCCCGGCTCCGTTGTGGTACGTGTCCCGCAACGGGTCGGGCGGCGGCGGCGGCGGCGGGCGCCTCGCGCGCTGCGTCGCCTGGCTGCTGCGCCGGAGGCTGCTGCTGCAGCTACATACCTACGTACAGTTCAACTCGCCGCACTGGGGACGGGACCCCGGTAAACAAACCCTATTACCTACTTACATAATACAGCTTCATTGCCTATGAAAAGCCTATGTTGGCTGCTCACCGCATTGAGTCATGAAGACGTATAGGTAATACGAATATTCATGCAAAACAAGAGTTGTTTTTAAAATAAAAACCAATTAGTTTAGTGAGAGAAATGGATATAGATCTAACCATTGAAAAACCATATTTAATGATTAACTAAATTACACTATCCTAGCTGAGTAACATCTTCTCATTCATCCACAGATGGCAAAGAATATTACTGCGAAAAACACGATATATTCAACCAGTCCTGCAGTGTGTCGTTCTCCTCTCTCAACCAAATGCAACTCAACGTCCCAGAACCAGTGGAACCCAGAGAAACCATCAACACCTTCCCAGACTCCGACGAGGACTACCCGACAGAGAATAACCTCAACCAAACAGACTTCTCACACACAAAGCCAATAGTCATAGAATCTGAACATACTAAATACGATAAATTCCGGGAAACAGACTCCGCGAATCACTCCTTCGATGACGGCATCGACGTCGTCGACGGCATCAAACCAACCAACGGTTGTGACTACGAAAACAAAGTCGATAAAGTCCAGAAGAAAATACAAGGAAACTCAGTAGACAGCGGCATTTCAAGCAATATGAATGGAACTAACAATCATAATGGGAACGGAGAAATTATAGAAAATGGCCACACTGATATCGTTAAAACTGAATTGTCTATCGATAAAACTGATTCGGATAAAAAGAGTCTCCCTTCACGGTTATCTGATATCTCCTTGAAAGATAGTGAAACTACTTTGAATAAGGATACGAGTAGTGATGAAGATAAATTCGAGAGCGACCAGGATATATCGCCGCGAATCAAAATGAATGGAATAATGAACGGTGGTGAAAAGAAAAATGGCGTGTCTTTGAATTTGAAATTACAAAGTGAAATGAGGTAAATACATTTTTACAATTTTTAGTCTTCATTTAAGTATGTCCCAAACTAGATTTAGGGCCGGTTTTTCCAAGGCCATAAGAATAACTTCCAGTATTTGACAATTCTTCCATACTATAAACTTTCAAATGTCAATTTTATTCTACAATTCAAAATTAACTGATGATTGCTAAATCAGCCCTTAAAAGCTATCTGTCAGTAACTTACGAGAGTTATCCCATCTCAGTTTGGAGTACTAGTAAACTTTCTACATTTTAATGTAATCTTAATTTTAGACAAGAATCTACAAAACGTGGGAATAATGTCCCCCAGACTACCTAGTTAAAGAAAGCCATTTGATACACAACAAAAACAAAAAAAAAATAGTAAAAAATACTAACATTAACCAGTATGGATTTCAGCTTTCAACCGCCGACGGTGTGGAATGTTCCGGCAAGTTGTGACGTCATCGATGCATGTCGCATCCCCAACGAGCCGCCAACGACCGAGTCACTGCTAGACACGTTCACTGCCGAGGAACGAGCCGCTTTGGCGACGGTACCAGCTTCTAAAAACACTGACGATCTGTTGCTTCTAGCACAACTGCATAAGAAAGGTGTGTTTTATCAAAATTGTATGTTGTTTTGAGTTATAACATAACATCACGCCTTTTATCCACGAAAGGGTAGGCAGAGATGCACTTTACGACACTTAATGCCACTGTACAATGTAACACCCACTTTTCACTATTTATGTTATGAGTCCCATGTAATAGGGGGTGAGGCTATTGCCATATACCGGGCACAGTTCAAAACTCCATACTACCACTGAGAAAAACCAGTAATACTTTGCCCGACTCGAGATTCGTACCCGAGACCCCTTGCCCGGCAGTCGCACTGGCGACTACTCGGCCAACGAGGCAGTCTTTAATATCGATCATCCAGGAGATAGGCATGCGATTTTATCGTGTTTTATGCAATTGAGGAATGGTAACAGCCAATTATATTATGTCTAACCACACTCTAACTACACCTTCATTAAATTTGGATCAGTATAAGAGGAAAATATGATCAAGTGGTATTTCAACCCACCAGCTTCTCTAAAGTATTTCTCATTTGATACCATTTTAATTTGGTTATTTCAGGTTACTTCCGCGGTGAGCAGCATTTAGAAGAGATTATGTTTATGGAGAACGTAAGCCGCTCGCAGCTGATGCAACTTCTAGACAAATTCAAAGATGTCCTCATTACATTCGAGACTGAAGACCCTGCTGTCGCCATGTTGTATCCCTACCAGTAAATCTCAATATTTAATTTAAAAATAGAACTATTTTGTGTAATAAATATCGTGAGACATAAGTACTAAATTAATTGAAAAAAAAATACGGCTTAAAACGTGAACTACCGTAAAACGGGATAAATGGAATTGGGTAGTTTCTTAAGTCAAAACTAACTGATTTGAACCCGAACTCATACATAGCTGAGCAGACATTATACATAAACATAGAGATCATACGAAATACGATTATTTCTCAAAAAGTGCACGTGAATAAGCCGCATTTGTTAACCAAAAACATATTTTAAGCGCGCCGTATTTAAAGCTATGTATGCAATGGTTGGCCATTGATTGACCTTGTCAAGTACGTCGAAAATAAAAAGTGATATAGGCGGAATAGATTATTAAAGAACCAATAGAGTTGGGACATAATCTGAATCTGTACTTTAATTTGTACACCCCAATTACAAGTTAAATCGATTATAGTGTATTTTAAGTTGAATTCGTTCTTTATTTATAGCTGATTTTTTATGTTAACTTACTATCATCACATTGATTACAAGATACTTTTTTATTATTCCACCTTTGAAAATCAGAGGTGCTAGAGCAAATTTGCGTCTGTTCTATAAAAATAAATATCGATTAAACATAATTGCCCTTGCTCTCTAAATGTGGGACAATAATAAAAAATGTGACAAACAAGTTTGCTACATAAAATTGGCATCTACAAAGCTAAGTGGTCGGCTGTTCCTAAAATATAAAATTAATAAATACCCAGGTTCTTATAATTGTAGTTATTGTAAAGTATTTATGTTTAGAAATTAGTTTTTTACTTGTAACAGGTGCTAGAATAGCTTCTCGACAGTTGATACCCTTTTGTAACTTATATTTTGCTGTTTGTAATAATTATTTCACATAATATTTTCTTCTGTTTATAGTAATCACTGAATCTGAATGTATATAAAATTTTCAATACAAATTGTAATTGAGAAAATAAATAAACCGGTACCATTGTTTGTTTGTTTTGAATTTTAAATTTAAGATTAATATCTGTAAAAGTATTGATGATTCTGTACATAGAAGTGTTAATTCTGTACACTGAAAATGTATAGTGGGGGGTGTTATTTTTGTCTGTCTACTACTTTCTAATTTTTACCCCTGGGAACGCGGGTGAAACCGCTGGCAGAAGCTAGGGATTACCTCATTGGTCGAATAGTCGTTTGCAAAGATAGCGATTTTGGACAACAAAGGAGAATGGCAGGTTTGTATGGAAGTTTTGTACCGCTATAAAATTTTGTATTAGTCATTGTTTTAACCAAGTGAATAGTCTGAACGATAGATATTTTTATTATGAAGTTTAGAAAAAAATTACATATTTTTAGAACTTGGGGTTCAAAAGTTATTTCACTTTGAAAATGTGCAAAAGGTATGTTAAGGTGGTACTACACTTGACATTGCGTAGTCGCTTCATTTGTCCAAATATTTGTAGACTACGTACAAATGGCGTCCAAATAGTATCTCTATATGTAATGGCGTGCAAATATATAGCAAACAAAGAAGAAAAAATCCTCCAAACATGTTCTTTTTTGGCCGAACACAACAAATACGCAACGTCAAGTGTAGAGCCACCGTAAGCAAAATATCTATTACAAATGACAGATGACAGTTAACTGAAAAATGTCAATGTGCTCTCATGTTGTTCAGTGTAGAAATAATCTGTTTAAAAGATGCACTCGGCCAACGCCATACTACTATTTATTGTGTTGTCCCATAGCTCGATAGATGGCGTTGGCCGATTTAAATTCAAGCTATGGTTTCGTTACCGGCAAAACATTAGGTTGTCTGCTTTGACGTAAATAAATTGTCTTGCTCTGAGGTACTTCGTATTATTTCAAGTAATCGGCTCCAAAGGACTTTCGGCCGATATTGTTCATGGTCCAGTCGAGCCGAAGGGTGTTTATGGAAGAACACATACAATTAAATATAGTTGTGCTAATTGATACGAGATGGTGATAGTTGTCGGTTAACAATACTACATGTGGAAGACTACGTGCTCAGCTGCCGAGGACATACATCGGGAATCATCGGTGAACTTCGTAGTAGTGAAGTGAAGTGCATAATTGTGGACAAAGAACTGTGAGTACATTCAAATCATTAAAACTAGGGACTTAGAAAAATTCGCGTGCATTCGATCAGGGACTTAGAATAGTTTCAAGAAAAACGACCAGACGTCGAATCTATGCCCGATTTCGAAGCGATCTACAAGTATTAAACACTTAGAAAAATTCTCTATAGTTTGGACTTGGAAAATTTGTCAATTGTCAACTGTCAGCGACACTTAGAGAATTTTCATCTATCTTTCACTGGACTTAGAATATTTTCATGAATACAAATAACATGGAGAAAGAACTAAGAAAGCTGAAAGATATCAAATTACAAATTGAAAAGGGCTGGATAAATTACAAGAAGTCCCCGAGAGATCGGATAAACTACAATTATGTCGATGCACGTTTAGAGATGTTAGAGACCCAATTCAAGAATTTTTCTGCGAAATATGAAGTCATCGTAGGTGATTGCGAAAGTGAAGAATTACAGGACTTTTTCCAGGAAGATATCTATGAGACGGTTTATGAGTGTTATTTAATGTACAAGGTAGAATTAAAAAATGTTTTGTCCCAATTAAAAGTTCACAGCTCCAGGAAGGAAGGTTGCGATGGTTCATCTGACAGCAGTGTGGTAAGATTGCCAAAAATAGTTTTACCTACTTTTAGCGGAAAATATACAGAGTGGTCGTCATTCCGTGATTTGTTCGTGTCATTAGTACACAACAATAAAAAACTTGATGATGTCCAACGTCTCCATTATTTAAAAACTCAACTGTCAGGTGAAGCGGAGCAGCTTATAAAACATGTACCTATAACTGATTTAAACTATAAAAAATGCTGGGAAATGTTAGAACATAGGTATAATAACAAGAGATTTGTATCCACATATATTTTAAATAGATTATTTGGCCAACGTAATATTGGAAATGAATCATCAAAAGCACTAAAAGATTTACTAGATGTGACCAGTGACTGTTTGCACGAACTTACTAATATTGGGATCGATGTAAGTTCTTGGGATGTAATTATTATTTACGTTGCAAGCTTAAAGTTGGACGTAGAATCGAGGAAGCAGTGGGAACTGCATGTCACTAAATCATCCGATGATCTACCTTCCTTTAAACTGTTTTGCGAGTTTTTGGAAACACGTTTTCGTGCTCTCGAATGCGTTGAGCCTAAAAATAAATTAAAAGTCGATCATCATCCTATATCTCACACTAAGGTCATGCACGGCACGACTAATATGTTATGTCCACACTGTTCGGAGAGTCACAAACTCTTAAATTGTAAGAAGTTTTGCCAACTAGATGTGGATGGACGTCGTGCCGTAACACAATCTTTGGGTGCCTGTTTTAATTGTTTGGGAAGTAATCATACTTCCAAATACTGCCGTGTTCTTTCGAAATGCCGTATTTGTCAGCGTAAACACCATACGCTGCTACATCCGAAGAACCATAGTGGAGCCATTGGGGTTACTGCGTCAGGGGAACCTATTCTCCCTGAACTTGGATGTACTTCAGAGCCAGTCCATGATGTCAAGGTAAGTATAGCATCTCATTTTGTGAATGAACAAACGCAGGGTCAGGTCTCGTTAGCCACGGCTTTGGTTAAAGCCGAATCACAAAATGGGTCCTCTCAGGTTTTGAGAGCTTTGTTGGATCAAGGATCACAAGCATCCTTTATAACTGAGTCAGCTGCGCAATTACTTCGTTTAAGGAGAGTAGTCTCAAAGACTACTATTGCAGGTATAGGAGGTGAGCATAGCAAGATCGTTTCTAAACATGTAGTGAATATTGATATTCAATCGTTGCATGATTCCTCTTATACCATAAACGTAACTGCGCATGTACTACGTTCACTGACATCGGTTATGCCAGATAAGAATGTCAACCTTGACAATTGGCCAGAAATTCACAGCATACGTCTAGCCGACCCAAATTTCAGTCGTTCTAATAAAATTGATATTTTATTAGGGGGGGAAGTATACTGCCGTATTTTAAAGGAAGGTCTGATCAAGAGTCCTACAGGCTCTCCGGTCGCACAAGACACGCATTTAGGTTGGATTGTGTCAGGCTATGTCAGTAAGGCAGATAGCTCTCTAAATTCTCATAATACTATAATCACGATGTACACTCAAATAGAAGAGAATGATATGTTAAAACGTTTATGGGAATTGGATTCCGAACCTGCTATAACGAAAAAGCTTCTCACGCCTGAAGAACAGGCCTGCGAAGAATTTTACGCACAATCGACAGTTAGAGATGTCAATGGGAGATATGTCGTAAAATTACCTTTTCGTTCCGAAGATCCACTTTGTAAATACGGTAATTCTAAAAATATAGCTGTAAAAAGATTGCTAGGTTTAGAAAGGAAACTGGGTAGGGATGATGAATTAAAACAACAGTATGCTGATGTAATAAAAGAATATTTATTGCTGGGTCATATGGAGAAAATCGTTGATAAGGCTGAAATAAATAAAAACGATGCTGTTTATTTGCCTCATCACGCAGTGGTTAGACAGGATAAATTAACCACTAAGGTAAGAGTGGTTTATGACGCGTCATGTAAGGGAACGAACGGGGTTTCCTTAAATGACACCTTAATGGTAGGACCCACTCTTCAGGCAGATTTGCGACATATTGTCATGAGATGGCGTCAACATCCGATCTGTCTGGCTGCCGATATCGTCAAAATGTATCGCCAAATCAAGGTCGCTCGACCTGATACAGATTATCAAAGAATTGTTTGGAGAGAGAATCCAAACAAAGAGATCGAGGATTACCGACTTCTGACTGTCACCTTTGGTACGTCATGCGCTCCTTACTTAGCTGTAAAGTCGTTGCAGCAAGTTGCGTGCGATGAAGGCGAGAGGTATCCAATGGCTGCTGAAAGGGTGAAGTCAGACTTCTATATGGACGA